GGCACCTGCCTCCCACCCACAGCTGCCCACTGCCAGCTCTGCTTCTGGCTGGACAGGACCCACGCTCAGGCATCCCAGATGATGGTTGGGAATGGGGAACAAAGGGGCAGAGGGGAGTTCGGTCTCCAGAGTGGTCCTGCCAGGCCCAAGGGGAGCAGCTGTCACCAGGCACCATCATTCAGCACCTGGCCCTTCCTACTGGCCTCCCACTGCCCCACCACTGACTTGAGTCGGGCCGGGCTGTCCTCCCTGGGCTGGATGCCGCTGGTCCCTGCTGCGATGCACAGGACAGACCCTACCCCAGCCGCCCTGCTCTGCTCCTGGCTTTGGCTTCCTGGTTCGATCTGCTTGGGTGCAGCGAGCCGGCCGCGTGCTAGGTCCCACCCTGGCTTCGCCCAGCCCCAGCCCTTCTGGAGTCCCCCCTGCTCCCTTCTCTCGCCTCCCTGGCCCTCCGTGTCCCCGGCAGCCTTCAGCGCTCAGACAGCCCACCAAGCCTGCTGCCCTGAAGCCGCCAGTGCTCAGCTGTCTCCCTCTCCAGTGCCAGCGCTCACATACTCCACAGAGGCTCCGGGGGCCCTCATTGCACCTGGACTCGCCAGCAAGATTATCACGGCCTGCCTGCCATTAGGAGCTATGTCTTCTCTGAAGCCTGACAGGAAGAGAACCAGGCTAACGGCCTCTTTTTCCGGCAGTCAGCCATTCCTCTCCTCTTCCGCTGCCATCATCCATCTACCCCAGCCCATCCCACCCATCTAATCTCATGGGAGAAGAAACCCTAAATAGACTGAACAACAACAGGTCAGCATAATGCATACGAGGTGCCTCCTGTATGCTGGGTACACATTAGGCGCTTCCTGTATGCTGGGTACACATTAGGCACTTCCTGTATGCTGGGTTCATAACTCTGTGATGGGCTTTCTAGAAACTGCGTGTGAGCCATAAAGCAAAGGGACTTGGACAGGTCTGCTTGATGCGTGGAAGAGAAACCAGAAGGATGAACAGGCCTGGATGAGGCACACATGGGACATCCCAGAGGGCAGGAAGTGGGCCACCCTCCCCCTCCGCCCTGCCCCCACCATTGCACAGAAAGTCGAATCTCCTAATAATAGGGGGCTTGTATAATTTATTGCCCAAACCAGAGTATTCTGGAAAGTAAAAGTGGGACCAATGGCAAACCAGGTTCACCATCACATTAAGAGCACCGCCCCCTGGCTCCTGCCCCCCACCCCCCACCCCCCGCCCTCCACAGCACAAAAAGAACCTTAGTCATTGGTTAAGGCCACCATAGACCAGAGCCTTCCCGTGTCCCTGGAGTGGGGGTGCATTCTAGGAACTGGTGGGAGAAGAGGGGTGGACAGAGGATGATGGTGGGGAACTGGGCAGGTCTGTGTTGCAGAACCTGTGGGGGGCCCCAGAGGGTACAGTTCACACACAGGTGGCTTTGGCAGGCTGTTCACTGCCGCCCACTGCTCTCACCACGGCTACTGCCAGGAGTGGGTTCCTATGGCTCCCTGAGTTTCTTTTGCTCTACCTCTTTGTGTTTTCCCTTGTCCTACTGAGACTTCGAGACTTCGTGGCTAGACAGAGCCCCATGGAGTCAGTGTGTGAGTGTGTGTGAGAGAGCGAGCGCGTGAGAGAGTGAGAGTGCTGTTTCCCTCCCTGTCCCTCTCTCTGCATGTCTGCCTCTCACACTATTAATACAAGCCCTGTCTGGCTGCACCCCCAGAACATGTGCTCCTGATGCAGAACACCACCCCTCCCAGTTCAGCCTGTTGCCTGTTCTGATGCAATTTTCCATAAATAACCCTTTGCCCAACCTACAATTTAGCCTTTGGGGTTTTTCCCTCATGATAATGGGATTGTCACCCAGGCTGATCCCCCGTGAGTCCCTAGGTTCCAGAAAGCAGATCCTTGGTGTATCTGGGCTAGGGACACTGTTGAGAACTCCCGGTCCCCCTGTGCCGCAGGGCACGTGGTGGGCGCCCCTACATGTTGAGAGAGGCCAGATGGCTCATCCACCCACGAAGACCTGTGCACCCCCCGCCTCAGAGCACAGCTCTACCTGGAACGTCTGTGCTCCCCTCTCCAGGTGGGGAAAGTGTGCAGCACCTGTTCCCTTCCTAACTTCTATCCCGCACTCCCCACACAGAGTGACCCACTCTCATGCCTGGCACCTATAGTGTTTGGGACGTAGCAATGTGATTTGATGATTTTCCCACGTGTGTAAGTGAGCATGGGCGTGAGTATGAGACTGGGAACTGGGCCCACACCTGGCTGTGGGCAAAACATCCAACCCTCAGTGCTGCTGTTTCTATAGACTCAAACACAAACCTCGCTCCTTAACCCACACGCGCCCCTGGGTCACACGGCCTCTGGTGGCCACCGTGAATCTGTTTCCTAACCTCTTAGGTTCTGAGCTCATGGGACACCACACCCCAACACATTCTCCATTCTCTCAGGGGCTCCTGGGGGCGGGGAGACCTCCTCAGGGCCCGGCAGGGAAGTAGCAACACCCGCTGACACTTATCAATGACTTGTGATCATGAATTAAGGGGGCTTTATTGGGAGTTAAACTGAAAATCATGGGGAGAACCTCAATTTACTGTGAGGGGCTCTTAGGTGATGCCTAGGTGGGCAGGGCCTGATTGAAAGCTCTGCAGTTGATCGTGTCTGGGCCCACATCTGGCATATTTAGACACCTTGATGAGGCAAGGCCTCGGGAGGAGTGCAAGAAACGTCCCGATATCAAGGTTATTACAGTTTCAATGGGGAGGAACAAATTCACATTTGGAAAAGTCTTGACTGGGGCTTCCTGTGAGCTGGTTCTGAATTGCACTTGGCTTTGAGTCTGTCCCAGCACGCAGCAAGGCTTGGCCAGGTGAAACCAATGGTCTGTGATGGCTGGAATGGGACGCAATCAGGAACCACAGGAGTGGAGTGAATTAAAGGAACTGAGATGAGACATCCCAGGAGAAAGGGAATGAGAGACTGGAGCATGTCTAGAAGGTTCCAGGAAGAGGGGACAAGGAGTTTGAACCCTAAAGAAAGAGCAGAAATTACTGGGGTAGTCAGTGGGATGGCAAACTAAGGCCTCTGGATGAGTCAGCAAATTAGGAAGGAAACCAGGTGAAGTGGGGGGCGGGGGATTTAGGGGTCAGGTGGAAAAGATTGAACTTGATCCTGGGTGAGGAGGCAATGGAAGGACTTTGAGTGTGGGTGTGACGCCCTGAAAACATTTTTGGAAGATGTATGGAGGGCACATCGCTGAGGGGAGGCCACGTTGAAGGCATCACAGGGCCAGGGTGAAGGAGTGAGGTCTAGATTTGGAAAGGAAGGGACGAACATGACTTTTCAAAGCAATGAAATCACGGCCACAAGAGCCACTCGAGGGCCACCAAGGAGGCCGCCAAGGTTTAAGCCCAGTGACTAAGAGGAGGCCGTTGGCTTGGACAGCAAAGACTGCGTGTGGGTGCAGTATGAGACCACATCCTCTCCATAATGATTCATTGTCTTTATTAACAATGCCTTGGGTTCTGGAAGAACAGACTGGTATTTCACAAAGCAATATGAACACTGTCATTCTCTACAAGAAAAACTTTTGCATAAATAACTTAAGTGAGAAAATAAATATGTAACTTAACTCTTTTTAGAAACCACTACTTTCATTCTTGAGGACAAATCCCACATGAAAGAATTGCCAAAAGACACGAGCAGCCGGCAGGCTTTCCCGTGGCATGTGCTTCTGTTTAACAACAATAAAAAAAAAATGAACAATTAAAAACTACACAGAAAGTAAGAGGTGTCTGAAAATGATTTTCAAAAAGATATTTGAGTGAGGCTTCACAGTTCCTCAGCATATGTACAGCACTTGTAAATTTCCCAGTAAGTGATTTGTGTAAGATAAGCCAGCACACGATGGGTGTGAGAAGCTTCCAGGGGGCAGGAGGAAGCTGCAGGGGCTGGGCTGGTCTTTGCACAGGGATGACCTCTCCCTTGGGCCTGCACGCCCAATGTCCTGGGCCCTTGCACGTCTCTACAGAAGGTGACTTCACAGTACCGGGCGGGACCGGGCTGCGCTCTGGGAGTGGGGGGGGGGGGGGCTTCTGTCCCTCCAGCCACCCTGGGGACCTTCTCCTTGTCTACTCAGTGGATGTGTGGATGCTGCATCCGTGGCCAGGAGGGAGGGAGGTAGCCAAACCTCTGGGGAAGCGAGACCCACCCGGAAGCAACACAATTCTTCCAGGAGTGTGCCATAAATAGGCTCTTCTCACTTTTCCTGCTTGTTTTCCAGATTTGGCTGTAAGATCAGAGGACCACAGCTCTGGAGTCTGGAAACGACCGTGGCAGTGATACACCCATCCTCTCTCAGTCCTCTGTTCACTCAAAGCCATTGAGTCCTGCAATCCCAGCAGACTCCTAAGAAACTGATCCCACTCCTACCTCCATTTTCCAAGAAGGAAATGAAGCCCAGAAAGCGAAGAGTGTGGTCCTCGGTCACTAGCGAGTTAGAGGCACGCCCAGAGCAGGACGAGAAACCCTATCTACAGAGCCCAGTCCAGCGTTCTGGGCTGGACGCGGCACTAAGTGCTTTGAGACAAGCGGAGCCACGGAGGGGCATCTTACTCAACTTTCTCAACCGCTCCCGCACTCTGACTCCCCACAGCTCCCCCTTAAAACCCCCGGGGCGGCGAAGAAATGCTCCTCTCCGGCCTGCTCTGAAGTAACGGTGGCAGCGGGGTGGGCAGGCCTGGCTCAGTGTTGGTGACTCTCGCCCCCCCCTGCCCTGCCCTGCGGGACCCCTCGGCGGGTGGAGAGCAGGGCTTTGCTGGCACCCGGGATCCGCAGGACTCGCGACCTCCTGCCAAGCCAGGCGGGTCTCAACCCCCTGCCCTGGGTGCAGGCCTTAAAATGAAATACAAACAATGGAACCGCGCGCGCGCAGAGGCAGAAACCTGGGGCGCCCGGGTGGCGGGCGCAGGGGGAGGCTCGGCGGGCGGGCTCTAGTAGGCGTTCTCCAGCTCCGCCTGGTTGGCTCTGGTGCCGTGGGCGCGGGGCCTGGGCTTCCTGCCCTTCTGCGGCCGCGCGGCCTCGGGCCCGAAGTCCTTCAGCTCAGACTGGTTGTGGAAGCGGGTGAGGCGCTTGCACTTGCACGAGGCCACCAGACGCACCTTGCGCGCGCGGGGCGCGGCGCCTCCGGGGCACAGCAGCTGCACCCGCTGCGCGCGGTAGCGGTCGGGGATGCAGCGGAAGTCGGGTCCGCTCGGGCGCCAGCCCTTGCCGCGGCCTATGGCGTTGGGTAGCAGGCGCGCGGGGCCACACTGGCCCGAGCACACCAGCTCGGTGACCGGCTTGGCGCTGCGGCAGGGCCCGTCCGTCACGTAGCGGGTGAAGAGCAGCTCGCGGCAGCTGTACTCGGATGCGTCTGCGGAGAGAGGGCGCGTGAGGGAGGCGGCCGTCCCGGCTCCCTCCACCCACCCAGCCTTCTCCAAACGTGCCTCCTTTCTCAGGAGCTTCCATGCCTGGGCACCGGCCCAGGTACACTGAGAATGTGGAAAGATTCCCAGACGGCGCCTTCCCATAAAGCCTCTGTCCCCAAAGGACCAGCTCCATTGCTGTGTGTTCTTTGGCAAGTTACCTAGCCTCTCTGTGCTTCCAATCTGAAAAACTAACCGTGCTGCGGATTTGGAGAGCCAATCTGTTACATATAAGATGTGGGCTTGAGCCCTCCCTGGTGGCACAACTGGTTAGAACATTGCACTATGAAGCTGTCCGCATCCACTGCAGCACCAGTTCCGTGGGCAGGGAGCTGACCCACATGGCGCAGCAGACCGCTCCTGTCTCAGCCCCTGGTACCCCTCAGCAGTGTATTTCTCTTGATCTGCCTGTTTTGCAACCCACTCTGTCTCTGGTGAAATCGCTCACCCCCACACCTCTGGCCTGTACCCCAATTCTTGTATATATAAATAAACAAATCCTTAAAAAAAAAAAAAAACTGCAGGCTACCACCCGGCCTTCAGTGAGAGGTGGGAGTGTGGACTATTGTCAGGAGTCACCATTATTCCTCTCCAAGGGGTCCTCACCGTCAGACTTACGTCACACCTGTGCCACAGCTCCCCAGCCAGGCCCAGTGGGGTACTAGCCACCCCCTCTGCATGGTGCTGGCCTCCCAAATTCCTCTTCCAGCCTTGTGGGAGGGATGCAGGGGAGTGGAGAAAGGAGCGGGGTTAATTGGCGGTAATAAATCAGGGCAGCAGCCGGAGGAGCAGGATGCGAGGATGGTGAGAAGGCCTTAGACTTGAAAGGAACCAAAGGCAGCAAGTCCAGCCCCCTGGGGTCACCCCTGGGGCCCCAAGAGGGAAAAGCACGTGCCCCAAAGGCAGAGCCAGGCTCCCGATGCCACCTCCCTTGGGGCCTGTGCCTCTTGCCCATGGGCCCCTGGGAGACTGGTCTGGGGTGGTGGGGACAAAGGGCTGTTCTCTACCACAGTGGCTCTCCTGGAGGGGGCCGAGTCCTAACTGAAAACCTAGTTGCGGCTGCAGTGAGCATTTCAGAAGCCCCGCCTGCCTGCGGCAGGTTCCGTGCTGGGCACACCTCTTGTTCTGTGAGTGGACAAGATGGAGGGCAAGATGGTGAGCAGACTTGCTCTCTCAGCAGGGAGATGGGGCTCTGAGGCTCTGGTCTGCTTAAGACACCTTGGTGGGGCCTCCTGCTGTGGGCTGAGATGGGAGGGAGCTCTTTAAATAGCTGTTCTCATGTGAGCGCCTGTCCACACCCAAGGGTCTCAGGGGTCAGTTCCCAGGTGACAAGAAGGGTGAGAAAGACCAAAGCCAGAGGGGCGCAGAGAAGGCCCCCTCTGCACTGAGCACAGCGGGAGCGGGTGGGGACCTTCCTCCTGTGGCTGGCTCCTGCTCCTGGCTTGGCTTGGCACCCTCACCTTGGGGCAGGCTGCAGGGGTGGTGTGTGGGGGCAGCCTGTTTGCCCAGGGAAGGAGGCATTTTGGGCTCTCCAAGAATAGTGCCCCAGTCAGCACTTCCTCTGCAAGTGACTTTGTTTTGAACCTGTGGCTCGCTGGGGGCCTGCAGCCACTCCTGGGAGCCCACCGAGGTGACATCTTGCACTGGAGTGCCGTACAGCCCCTCGCTTGAGCTGAGCTGACCTTGCCTGAAGGGAGCCAGAAAGGGGGTGCCTCCATTCTTCCCTCACCACTTGGAAGACTCAGAGTCCTCCTATCCTCTCCCGGGGTCACCGTTTGCAGAACACCCATTGCCAGCTGGCTGTGAGGCAGAGAGGGGCGGGGTGCCCATGCCTGGGCAGCGGACTCCTTCCCACCTGGACAATGGCCACAGGGCAGTGAGGCCATCACTCTGCAGTGTCACTCCAGCCCCCGCCCCCTGCTGCTCCTGCCAGCTGCGAGCCAGCTGTGCACACTGCCCCTCAGGCTCCTCTGTGCAGCCTTGGCCAGAACCCCAGGCCTGGCCGTCCCCTCTCCATCCCCAGGAGTGAAGCCAGGCTGCACCCCACCTGGAATGGGGACTTAGGACAGAGCCTCTCCGTGGGGGCCCAGACCCAGCTGCCACCCAGCTCGCGGCTACCACTGCCTGCAACTCCCATCCTTCCAAGTGCAGGTCCCTTGGCGTTCTGGCGTCCCTTTCCCACTGCTTGTGAGGGTTGGCGCCAAGGCGTGGAGCCCACGCCTCACACACTTCCCCACCAGGCCTGTCCTGGGATTGGATCCAGCTGGGTTCAAATAGCAGCTCTTCTACTAGCAGGTTGCTTCATCTCTGGATTCTTGGCTTTGACCTTCAAAGCAGGAGTCTACCTGCTGGTGAGTGTGGTAGGGCCCTGGGGTGCGGTGTAGGCCCGACTCAACGTAGACTCTAGCACCCAGCAGCACTCATAGACGTGAGGCTCCTGGGCCCTGTCCCCTCCCTGGTGGCACCAGCGGCTGGACGTGGCTCCACTCATCTCCAGGGGGGGGGGGGTGTTCTTCCAACTTCCTTTCAGAGCTCCTGTCCACAGCTGTATCCTCACCACCTCATCTTCCTTCCCGACCCAAGCTCACTACCAGCAACTGTCCTGCTCTCCAGTCTCAGGCTGCTCTGACTGCCAGCCTCTTCCTGCCTCCAGGCGGGAGGGGGCCCGGCCTCCCAGATCTCCCCAGGAGGACCCTCCCAGGCCCCTGCTCCTGGACGCGCGCCCCGTCACCCCATACCTTTGGTCTCATAAGGGTGGTGGGGAGGCCGCCCTCCGTTCTCTGCCCGGTTCATGGTCTTGTTGTTCTCCAGCTCTGGCGGAGGCTGGGGGTACTCTCCGAGCTCAGGGATGATTTCCGTGGCGTCGTTCTTGAAGGCCGGCCACCCCTGGGCCTCCACCACATGGAAGGCTGTGTGCATCAGCAGGCAGACCAGACACAGGGCGAAAGAGAGCTGCATGGTGCCAGCAGAGGAGGGCACCGGCCTTCGGATAGCAGAGGCTCCAGTCCCCAGCTGGGACACTGTGGCCTTTTTAAAGCCCCCTCTGCCTGATGCCAGCCAATGAGGGCGGGCTGGGGCAGGGCTGGTCCCATGCTTCCCAGGGGGAGGGAGCGGGGTGTGCTCAGAGCCAGCCCTCCCCAAGACTTCTCCTCCAGCACAGCAAACTCCCAAATTGTGGCTCGTGCTCCCAGGTGACCCAGCTGGGGGGGGTATGAGGCCAGCCGGCTCTCCAGCACCTCCAACGTGCTGGCCTCTGTGGTTTGCAGATAGCACGGGGAGCTGGGCTCTTAATCTCTACCTCCTCAGCCCCTCCGGCTTTTTCAAAACAAACCCGGGGCCAGCTTCACAAAAGGAGCTGCAGCTGAGTCCTGTGCAGGGCAGCGCAGCCCTTCCTCAGGCCAAGTGCATTTATCACGCCAACAGTGGCCTCCACAGTCCCAGGCAGAGGTGGAAGGCCAATTTTTAAGAAATTTTACTGGTCCCAGCTCCATGAGGCTCGGCATGGGCTAGCCAAGAAAGCCTCTGTTAACAAGAGAGAAAACTGGACCTGCGGTGTCTGTGTGGGCGAAAGGGCAGGTGATGGCACCAGGCTCTGGGGATGGAGACAGGAGCAGCCCTGGCTGGTGCTCCTGGGTCCTGTGCGTGTGACAGACAGCGACTGGCTGCAGGTGAATGTGCCCAAGGCGGTTACTGCCCGGCTCAGGCTGTGGGTCCGAGTGGTGGGCATGGCCACCCTGTTCTCGGCTTTAGCCAAGGCCAACATTTTTAGTACTGACTTTTTTTTTTTTCTCATCTCCCAGCCCATTATCTTTTTTTCAAAAGTCATTTTGAGTCCATATCTGGAAAACCTCATTGGTACAGAACACAGCCTGCGTTTCTTGAAGCCACCCCAAGCGCAGAGAGCCACAAAGAAACCAAAAGGAATTGCTGTCTCAGCCTGGGGCAGAGTTGGGGGGAGTTGAGGGGGGCAGACCTGGGGAGGAAGGTTCACACCTGAGGTGCCAGACAAAAAAGGGAGGCTTTCAGGTAGGGGACGGTGGAGGAGGCTGGCCAGCCCCGCTGGGCCTGGGAGGGAGGCCGGGCAGAGGGCTGTGGCCAGGTCTCTTTGGTATGTCCACTGGGCAATGAATCAGCCCGCCCCACCTGCAGAGCCTCTGTGAAGCGTCTGCCACCTGCCTCAACTTGTAAGTCGCTATGTCCATCTGCGGCTGTCTGTCCCTCCTTCATTCCATCATCCATCACTCAAAGCATGAATGCAGCTGCCTTGACAGTTTTACAAGCCAGACAGCAGCCCCTGCAGGAAGGGCCCTCTCTGATACCTGCTTCCTAAGTCAGTTTCCTTCCGGGCAGACGAAAACAGCTGTGGCCATTGTTGGGGGGATCTATCGCTCCCACCAGAGCCAGGGTGCTGTGAGAAGCTGCCCCCCAGCCCCCTCCCCTTGTCTGAGAACCTCCACCGCTCTGGAATGTGGACCGTTAACCCTCTCTTGGCCGGTCACCCGCCTCCTTGCCCTGGACTCGGAGAGGGCAGTGCTGACGCCAGGTGTCCGTGGGCTGGCGGGTCTGATGCCGGAGCCCCACCTGCCGCTGGGAGCCGCCGGCCAGCGACGGAAACGGAGCCCGCGAGGACCCTCCGTGGGACTCTTCTGCCCCCTGCTGGACACGGGAGGGAGAGTCCGCGACTGGAGGATGGCGAGACTCATTTTATGATTTTATTTGAAACTGAAATAAGGTAAAGAGAGAAAAGCAAAGAATCCAGTGGATGCTTGAACTTTTACGTTATCTGCCGCCCTTCGAATTGTTCTCATCCAGCGGGTGGTCGTGTTTTCCACAGAATGGTATCTGCTATGATGCCGGCAGCTTTTTCACTTAAGGCTAATTTCATATTTACTCAGTCCTATGCATAGCCAGACAATACTCCCTGAAGCTCCCAGTGTTTAAGCTGAAGTCTGTGCTTTTTTTTTTAAGATTTATTTATTTATGCATACAGAACTGGGGTACAGGCCAGAGGTGCAGGGGCAGTGACAGGATTCACCAGACAAAGAGTGGGGAGCAGAACAGGCTGAATGACGAAGTACAGTGCCGAGGGGAGCAGCGGGCGGGTCAGGAGAGGTCTGCTGCGCCATGTGGGTCACTTCCGAGGCAGGCGGGAATCAAACTCATGTGGAAGTGGCTTTTTAGCTTTTTAGTGCTGTGCTTTAACTTGCTGCGCCACCAGGGAGGGCCCAGTCTGTGATTTTTTAATTAAACTTTTAATTTTGAGAGCATTGAAAATTCACATGCAATTGTAAAAAATAAAAGTCCAGCAGTCTCTTCGCCCCAAGCACTCAGTAGTAGTATATTCCAACCAGGCTATTGGCATAATCCATTCATTTCATTCTGGTTTCCTTAGTTTTCCTTGCACGTGTGTGTTTGTTGGTGCGAGTATCCATCCTTACAGCCAAGATAAAGGACAACTCATAACACACAGATGTCTCTTTGTCCTTTTATAACTACAGCTACCTCCTCCTATGCCCACTTCACCCCAACTCATGGCACCAGCAATCTGTTCTCATTTCTACAATTTTGTAATTTAAAAAATATTAGATAAGTGAAGTTGTGGATTTATGTTTTAGGGTTATCATTTTTTCCTTGGCATAACTCCCTGGAGGTCCATCCAAGTTGTGGTGTGTATCCACAATTTGTGCCTTTTGACTGGTGGATAGTATTCCACCAAGGCACTCTTTTTTTTTTTTTTTTTAACTCTAGGGCTATTTCCAGAGTAAATGCTGGGTCTGAGGGCATGAACTGTTTGCCACATGTTGTAAGATTGTCCTCCAGAAAGCCAGCCAGGTCCCAGTTTCCACCAGCAACATGAAAGTGGACGCCCGGGCACTTGTTTGCTGAAGCAAAGCACCACAGCCCAGGGGCTGCAGTTAATTGCACTTTATTGTCTCAGAGTCCTGAAGGCTGGAAGTCTGAGATCAAAGTGTTGGCAGGGTCGGATCCTTCTGAGGGCTTCGTGGAAGAGTCTGTTCCATGCCTCTCCCCTAGCTTCTGGCGGCTTGCAGACAATCTCTGGCATTCTTGGCGTGTACAAGCATCATCCCCATCTCCGCCTTCATCTTCACATGGTGTTCTCCCTGTGCGTGTCTGCAGCTTAATTCCCCCTTTTTATAAGGCCATCATTCATATGGGATTCGGCCCCACCCTAAATGACCTCATCTTCATTACATCTGCAGCAAACCTACTTCCAAATAAGGTCACAGTCTGAGGTACTAGGGGTTAGGGTTCAACATGTGAGTTCTGGAAGGAGGGAGTCCAGTCTGTAACAGCATTTAGCCACAGGGTGCCAATGTGGGATTTGGGCTGTTGAATTTAATAAAAGTTGTGCCTCCGTTTTTAGCCAGGCTGTTTCTCTATGTGGTAATTTACTGGTTTTCTTTTCTACCTAGTTGCCAATTCCTGCAAGTGTTTAATGAAGCAAGACTTGTCACCAGAAGGTAGGAACTGAAGTTCCCCCCTCGCCTCCCCACCCCGGAGTTCTGGGAACAAATAAAAGTTCTTCATCCAAAAAGCTCCAATTCCAGGTAGAATGGGATTAGTGCCACTAAGAAAAAGTTTAGATGCTTTTTTTTTTTCTTTTTTAAGGACAACATGTTATAGAACTTTAGAGGAGAGAACAGTCTCTTCCCAGGGTGGATCTGGAATCTTCCCAACCTCTTGGGCATGGTATTTGGACCAAACTTTGAAGGACAGGCCAAATTTGGTCAGCTATGCACCTTTGACATCTCAGGATCATAGAGTTTTTGATCTGAAAGGAACCTCAAAGTTCATCTAGTTTCATTCTCTACTTGGCTCTCAAGCTGTGCCTCTGCCTCACAGAAATGAGGATTCTCCATACTGGCAGCACTTTTAAACAGTCTTTGCTCTCAAAGGTCAGCAGCTGGAATGCAATATTTGGGTTTGGACAGCGGCCTGTTAATGGGCAGCTGTCTGCATTGTGGGATGTCTAATCTGTCTCTAGTCTCAGTTGAGAGCTGGTTCTCTGTCGAGTTCAAAACCTGGGTGCCAGTGGAAATGCCCTCTTCACTCACCCAAGTTTGTGAGGGACCAGGGGAGCCCCAAAGAGCTCCTATCACTCACTTTGCTCCTCAGGATAGGCTAATGGCTCCCCCAGCCCTAACACCATAAAAACCTTCTGCTTCCTTCTACCCGGTCAACCAGGCCCTTCAAGGCGGATCCCAATTTGTCCAACCAGTGGTCATTCAAACGACCACTCTCTGTGGCCCCAGTCCACAAAATCTTGGTAATTGTTTTTAAAAATTAAAAAAAATAGGCAAACATAAAAGCTAAGCAGAAAAGCCTGGCTTTTGTTAAAAATAGAACTTCATTCAAGAAGGTGCTATGGTGACAGTTATAGGAGCCAGTGAGGGAGAGAGAGTGGGCTCAATTCTGATTAGAAGGAAAAGCAGAGAGTGGGAGCACTCTCCCCTAGCTTCTGGCGGCTTGCAGACAATCTCTGGCATTCTTGGCGTGGACAAGCATCACCCCCATCTCTGCCTTCATCTTCACATGGTGTTCTCCCTGTGTGTGTCTGTGGGGCTGGGGGGTGGTCAGTATATGGAAAGTTATGAAGAGGAAACACCAGCGACAAGGAATCCTTAGCGAAGGGGACTCTGGGATTCTTTATAGAAGCAGCCAGAGGCAAACATCAACTGATCAGTGCAGAGGGCTTTCAGAAATGGGTAGGGTAATTCAGGACAAATGGACTTAGCCCTGGAGAGATATTCAACAACTATCTCCTGTGTAAATATAATCATATGGGACCTCTAACTAGCTTAGGAAGGCTAATTTTTTTTTTTAAAAAATTATTTATACATACAAGAACTGGGGTACAGGCCAGAAGTATGGGGGTGAGAGGATTCCCCAGAGACAGAGTGGGGAGAAGAACAGGTAGATGGATGAAGTACACTACTGTGGGGAGCAGCGGGCGGGTCAGGTCTGCTGCGCCATGTGGGTCAGCTCCCAGTGGGGGATCGAACTTGTGCTGCAGTGGCTGCTGATAGCTTCATTGTACAGTACTTTAATCCGCTGCACCATGAGGGAGGGCCCAGGAACACCAATTTTTAAATGATGATTCTTTTTAAAAGTTAAAAAAAAAAACAGGCAAGAAAGCATAAAAGAAAATCAACTCTCATGAGGAAGAAAAAGACCATTGCTTTGTAATAGAAGACATTTATTTTGGTTACATTTTTAGTGCTTTAACACTGATTTGTGAGACAGCAGACATTAAACTTTATTTTTTAACCAATGGATATCTTCCCTTTTCTGTACAGAAAAGTCGCACTTTCACAATTACTCTAGAAGCTGACGGGAGGTAATTTAAGCTTCCACCACCTGGGTCTCAACTGGAGGTGACCTCCCTTTACAGTCAGGATAAAATTTTGACTGGGAAGGACCATCATTGTTGGCTCTTGAGTGATCTTTGACAGTGGTTTTATAACAGAAAATTTCCTGTGAGAAAAGCTCATATGCTCGTTAAACCAGTGCTTATTTTGATGAAAACTTTCACATCTTAACATTAACCTGTGACTGGAGAGGCACCAACATTTTGAGCCACCACCACAGATAGAAGAAGACCCCACCTGCTGGTCACTGTGTTACTGCATCCTTCCAAGCGGAGTTAAATCCAAATGGGCATCCTTAGAGAACTCCCCTGTGTTAGAGCCAAAGGGGACCCCAGGGGCCTTCTAGACCAGTCTCCTTGCTTGATGGTGATTTCTGCTCTCCAGATATCTCAGAGTGGCAGGGAAACAGACCAGCCTATGGAAGGTGAACTGCTTTAGAATTCAGAGAGCCGACTGGTGCTCTTCTTTTGCCTAGATGGAGTCTGCTAGTCAGAGCAATGATCAGGTCAGAGGAGGGGAGAGGGCACCCTGAGTTCCTGCTCCACCACTTCCCAGGGGGAGAAAGCTGCCAAGCAGCAGCTTCCACGCACAGCTGGGCATGTGTTGGCTTCTACTTAATATTTGTTTTATTCAAAGAAGGAAGAGCTGAGTCCTACGTAAATAGGGGGATTCTTGGACTGAAGAAGTGACAAGATACCAGCATAAAAGGCGCCCCAAGGTAAAGGCAGTAATTCTTCCCTATGGCCTCTTCTTGCTCGCGCCCTCACACCGGGACCTTGGGAGGCCCTGGTTAGCTTGGTTAGCTAGCCACACCAACCTGATGCGTTCCCCTGTGGACAGGTGTGGCTGCTACCTGTGGGGTGACTGCTAGCTGGGAGGGGACCTCAGGCCCAGCCCCTCAGCCTCTTCCAGATGCTCCGACTGGGGGATGTTATTGTGTCTTGCAGGAAGATCCACATATATTCTAACCCACGCAGAGACCCACACTTCGGTCTCCTCTTCCAGGGGCACGCTGGCTTTGTGCTATCGCCGTCCACCCCCACCCAGAGGCCCTGGCACCACAGCCTGAGTCCCTGTGTCATGTCCACAAAGCTGGCTGGCCTTGTGCACAAGGGCTGGGGCGGGGCCTGTGCTCTGATACTCCCGGGGCTCATTGGGGGACTGTGGTATGAGGAAGAATTCAGCCTTGAGGAGCAGCAAGCCTGAAACTTTGCCTCAGCTCTGCCTTTGAGTTCTGTAAGCCTGAACCCTGATTTCTTTTTTCAAAAGCAACGATACGTGAAGAAGCTCTACCAAAGGTGTGAGGTTATTGTGAGGGTCAAATGAGATTAGGTGGGGACAGTTATGGGGAAACTATGAGGTACTTAGTTTAGAGGATGACCATCCACTTAGGTGGGTCTCCCCAGCCTAGAAAACAGGTCCTCGTTTGCTCAGTGCTGTTGTGGTCACAGAGGCAAGGGGACCTGCTGCGGCCGGGGATCATGCACCTGTGAGGCCCAGGTCCGCCTGCTTCTCCTCACCCTAGCCGGAAGCTCTTGGTCAACTCTGAGAAAGGCACATTCCCCACTCGCCATATTGACACTGCCTGAATTTAAATTTAAAACTGAATTTTAAATATTCAACAAAAGTCCCTGATATTTCACTTCAGGTAAGACTCCCTTGCAAATCCTTATATGCGCTCCTTCAAGGAATTCAAGTTCCTAGGAAACTGCTCTGCCCACCAGAACACCCTCCATGTATTTGGTGCTCAAAAATGTTTAACTTCTTTAGCACACTTTCACCAGACACCAATGTGCTGGCCCTGGGGGCACGGCTGAGGACCACCTCTGTGCCATCAGAGCGCCTGAAGGTGGGAGCTCCTCGTGGCTCCCCTGAAGGCAACGTGCAGAGTCCCAACCGGAAGTGTTCAAAGCCAAACTCCTGCATGCTGCCTCACGTGCACAAGTGTGAGTGCTCGTGTGTTCCGACCTCATCCAAGAGCAGTCCTCACAAAGGCGGTGTCTCTCCACTCGCTGGCACTACCAGCAAGGGCCTCCTTGGAGGCTTCGCCACATTTCACTTCTGCCTGGCTGAGTCATTTTTGCTCCCAAGGCTCCCAGATCTTTTCTGGCACCAGAGCGCTAGAAGAACTACCTGTGCATGGGCAGGGCGTTAGCCTGAGACAGCTCATCTCCCTGCTTGTCCTCTGGCTGTGTTTCTGAGAGACACCCCCTCAGCCAGCACCCCACACCCCCCACGCCCCCCACACGCTGTAATTGGCCATCTTCCGCTTTCTGTTCTTGGAATAGCAGCGGAGACGAAAAGCAGTTAGCACGGGTGGCTGGGGCTCACCAACACTATAATTCAGGACAAAACCCTTGTCATTCTCCAAATGGTGGGGTTTTTAAATAGGCTGGACTTCAACACCCTGTTTTCTAAAAAAGAAAAATAAAACCCAGCCCAAGGTACTGCTCTTCTAACACATGGTGACTGAGAGCAGCCCACGGAGAATGTCCCCGTGGATTCGGAACTCAAGCCTTCCAGAGGCTCACATTTTAAAAAACTTCTGGTGTAGAGAGTCCTGCAGGAGAGGTGTTTGCCCACTGCAGGGCCCCTTTGTTTGGATATCTTTAACCCTAAAGAAATAATTAAAATTCAGTCTCTCGGTGGAAATTTCCACCGACCACTGACAGCTACCCTCACACCAGCTTCAGGCCTCGTGACACCTCTGCCTACGAACAGAGTGTAGATGGCTGTGAGGAGACTGGGGTAGGCCGGGGGAGGGCAACAGACATGGCGGGAGACACGGGCCACGTTTGCATAGATCCTTGACAGGGTTCAAGGTGCTGTGGTCCCCACTCAGAGAAACCAGGAGTAGGGGTGGGAGGTGGGATGGGGGAGGTCCTGAGGGCCCCGGTAGGTGTTTTGGGCCTTACGTCCCCACAGGCCTCCTGCCCTGGGTCATCAGGAAGAAGCATGCGGGTCACAGGCAATCCCCCTCTGAGGAGAGGACATCGTAATTGTAGGCCCCGGACACACCAAGGAGCGAGAACGCTCTCTTACAGTCGCTTTTATACGCTCCGGGGGGGCAGCGGCCAGGGCCTGTGGGGACAGACTTGTGGAAGTGCCTGGTGATGCTGGGAACAGGGTGTTTCCTAAACATGGCGACTCGGGACTCCTCCAGGGCCTCCCCCACCCCACCTCCAGAGAGGAGGCAGTGGTGGGGCGCCCTAGAGTTTCAATTTCCCCTCTCTGACTAGTCTGTCATTGAGCTGGCAGAGCTGGGCCAGGAAACCATCATTGGGACCGATCTCGCGGTTCTGCCTCACGACGCTCAGGGCTGACTTGACGTCCATCTTCTGGCGCAGCATGAGGTACGCGATGACCAGAGTCGGTGAGCGGCTGTAGCCCTCACGGCAGTGGACAAGCACTCGGCCTGCAAGAAACGGGGACACGGTGAACTGGCGCCTTCCAGTCACACCACGGCTCCAGTCAGAACTCTTCCAGGAAGCGCAGGAGAGAAGTACAAGACGGAGCCGTTCTGTACCCAGCAGGATGGCTAAGAGGAACGAATGAGGCAGGACACCCCTCATGTGAGAGTGCAGAGGGGGAAACTGGCCCACGGCTGAGGACAGCGGCATGGCAGCACTCCGTCCAGCCGAGCACAGGCGGCCCCACGCCAGGAGAGATCAGACACTGCACTTGCCAAAACACACCAGGCACCAGAGGCCCAGGCAGCAGTATCCACAGCAGCCCCACGCTTGAACCCCCCGCTTAGACAAGGGTGCGTGCTGTGGAGATAAAAACACACAGGCAATGAGAACGTAGGTGGGACACACGGCGGGGACAATCAGCGCTGAGGGAAGTCTGAAGAGAGGTAACCCAGGATGGGGGGCTGGGGAGGGGGGGTCGGGGGAGACTGGCAGGACACAGGTGGTAGATTTCTTGGGGTGCTGATCAGGCTCTGATTCTTGATCTGGGGACTGGTCCATGGGTATATCCAGCTCACGGGGCTACACACCTGTGACATGAGCCCTTCTCTATACGATGTTGTATTGCAGTGAAGAAAAACATAGAAATAACCCAACTATCCATGAACAGGCTAATGGAGGGCAGAACTGGGGTACCTCTCTCTCCAGCCTGGGACGCTACTCAGAAATGAAACGAAGGCGTGAGGGTGAGATGTGGACGCTGAGCAAAGAGGAACAGTGACAGCACACATGCCTGAGCCCCTTCCTGCGGCACCGACAGAAGGGGCGGACATGGAGTGATGGAAAGCAGATCGGCGCGGGGTGTGGGGGGGTCTCAAGGGAGGAGCCTCTGAGGGGGTGGGGACATCTGCCACCTTGTTGAGGTGATGGATCCCAAAGTGTATACAGATGTCAAAACGTATACACTGCTTTTGTGAGTTTAAAGACTTGGCTATGGGCCCTCCCTGGTGGCGCAACAGGTTAAAGCACAGTGCTATGAAGCTGTCCACAGCCCCTGCAACCAGAGTTCGATTCTCAGCGGGGGAGCTGACCCACAGGCAGCAGCAGACCTCTCCTGACCACCCACTGCTCCCCTCAGCAGTGTATTTCTCTTGATCCCCACTGTTTCTGTGATTTCTCTCACCCCCATGCACCTCTGGCCTGTACCCCAGTTCTTGTGTGCATAAATAAATAAATCTTAAAAAAAAATACTCAGTTACACCTCAACAAAGCAGTTTCAAAATAAAAGGAACACATCTGTCAAATGCAAACACAAACCAGGCAAAAATTCACACAGACACAATCAGAAATACCTTCTCAGGGCGCCCCAATGGCCCGTGAGGCCCTACAAAATCTGGCACCCCTCCTGAGTCATTTCCTCTCCACACCTGCAACACCGCCTTCCCCAAGTGTTTACTCAAATGTCACCTCCCAGGAAGGCCGTTCCTGCCCATCGCCTGGAAGTCTCAGCTCCACTGCACGCCTTATGCTCCCTCACCCGCACACCCTACTTTAGTCTTCCGGTTTAGCTTTTTCCCCTGTTTACCGTCCCTTCCTCCTGAAATATAAGCTCGGGGAGACAAGGATGTCTGTCTTGCTCCCTGCTGCACCCCCATCATCTGGGGAAGCGAGGGAGAGAAGGAGGGATCTAGGGAGGAAGGGGGCAGAGCCCCTCCGTGAAGGCCCCTTCATCTTCCCAGACTGCTTCCTCCTCTGAGCATCCCTCCAGGCCTCCCCACAGCTCTCCAAAGTGGGGTGTCCCAGCTCCCTGCACACCGGTGGAGCCCAGTGCGCTTCCAGTGGGTCTCAGAAGCCCCTGGAATTCATCTCTGTGACTCAGTCAGTGACCACGTGCAGCAGGCTGCTCGGACCTGCTGCTGCCTCGGGTGCTAGAGACACACAGGGACGCAATGGGTCCAGTCTGAGGGCAGAAGACTGGGCGCTAGGCCCAGGGCAAAGCAGAGTGGAGCTGGCCGGAGGCCAGGGCAGGGAGCAGCAGAGACCTTTCCAAATGGATGAGCTAGCTCGCAAGGGCTAAGGCAGGAGGTCATAAAAAATCAAAGTATGGGCCCTCCCTGGTGGCGCAGCGGGTTAAAGCACAGCACTGAGAATCTAAAGCCGCTTCCGCATGAGTTCGATTCCCGCTGGTCCCAGAGGTGACCACATGGCGCGGCAGACCTCTCCTGACCCACCCGCTGCTCCCCTCAGCAGTGTGCTTCGTCGATCTGCCTGTTCTGCTCCCCACTCTGTCTCTGGTGAAGCCTCTCACCGCCCCTGAGCCTCTGGCCTGTACCCCAGCTCTGTATGTGCAAATAAATAAATCTTTTAAAAAAAAATCAAAGTATGCTCTGGTCGTACGGGGAGAGGAAACTAAGTCAGAGCCCTAAGCTCCTCGGACAGCTGCCACGGACACACAGGAGCCAGCTCTTCCCCTTCCAGGGCCTCTGGCTCTCATCTGTACAGGGGCCAGGGTGGGGCAGGTGCGGGGGGCACGCATAAGCCCATGAAGGGCTGATGGTCAAATGTACAGATTTCCTGGGCGACCCGACTCCCCTCCCGAGCCCCCAATGTGAGAACCAGCCCCTAAGAAACCCTGCTTACTGGAACTCGTCCACTGGGCAGACGCTGGCACAGCAGCAGAGCAGCGGAGAAAGGCTGGAGTCGGGGACAGGGCTGGTCCCATGTGGGGGGTGGGGGTGATTTCCTCTGGGGAGACATGGGGTGTCGAGGAAGGCAGCGTGGAGGAAGCAGCATGAAAGTGAAGGGAGTTGCTGAGAAAAACAAGTTAAAAGCAGAAAGGGCAAGTGGCCCCGCCTGCCCCGCTGACACCTGCCCTTTGGCCTTCTAAGGTTTCTCTCAGCAACACCTGGCCTGGTGCCCAGCACCGTGGCCGCTCCGCACCAACCTCACTCTGCCTTGGCTGCCAGGGGGGCCGCCCCGCTCGGCTCACCGGGGGTGTGACCCAGAGGTGAGGGGATGCCACCGGGGCTCTGGGGTGTTCTTCTTGCTCTTAAAATAAGAGAACAAGAAGATGGCTCCTTATCTATTGCCACACTCTGTCCTGTTAGGGTGTGGGAACAGGATCTGCCATCTGGGGACCCCTGGGGGACAGAGGAGAGAGAACGCCCCCCCCCCCCGAGCTGCTGAATCAGCTAGCCCTGGTGCTCCGTCTCCTCAGAACGTCTCTTCATGGAAAATGAAAAATATCAGGGAAATGAACAAACAAAATACAATGGGGCCTCCCTGGTGGCACAAGGAGTGAAGTCTCAGCACTGTGAGCTACTGACAACCACTGCAGCGCAAGTTCAGTCTCCACGTGGCGCAGCAGACCTCTCCTGTCCCTCCCGCTGCTCCCCTCAGCAGTGCATTTCAGTGGATCTGCTGTTCTGCTCCCCACTCGGTCTCTGGTAAGTCCTCTCAACACCCCCACTCTGGCCTGTACCCTAGTTCTTAAATGCATAAATAAATAAATTTAAAAAAACAAAACAATAGGAAGCATTGAAGCCATTTGAATTGGGGTGGGGGAGGAAGTGGCTGGAAATTTAACCCTCAGTCAAAGTCAAATCAAACACAGAGCTTGGGGGCTGCTGCTGTGCAAAATGTCCTTTGTGGGCAGAGACCTGAACTCTCCATTATTCACGACAGGAGACAGGACACAACAGGTTTCCCAAGGAAGCCCGTTGTGGCCCTGTTTTCTAGAAAGTCCAGTCCAAGCGGCCTCTGTCACCTCGGAGAGGGAGGTCCCTTACCATTCTTTTGAGCCAAAGCCTGGTCGATGAAGTCTGCTGCCTTTTCAAAAAAGGCGCTGAGGTTGAACTCCTGTGTGTCGTTGGCCTTGATGCCCAGGTAGGTGATGCCAGAGTCCTTGTAGAAGCTGGCGCTGGTGTTGACGTGCATGAAGGACCTGCCCTCAGCAGCGTTCAGGACGTGGGTGATGCCCAGTTTCTGCAGCTTGGGGATGTCTTGGGCCACAGACCTGGACAGGGAGCAATAGCAGGAGATGACACACTCACTAGCTGGCAGCCCCAAGGGGGAAGGTGCAGGAGATTGGAAGCCTCTTTGCAAGGCAAGGAACCCTCCATGCCGGCTTCTCCAGCCCATCTGTGACGCTCCTCTCCAACTCCAGTCCCATCTAGTTACCGGCAGCTGCTCAAGCGGGCAGCCCACGCCGTTCCCTATGTCTGGAGCACCCTCCTCCACGGCGCTTGTCCTCTGCAGTATTTCCCACCCGCCTCTCCATGCTCCCTGCACTGTGGTGGGGGGCTAGCCAAGTGGGCAAATGTGGGCTCTGGAGCCAGACTGCCTGGATCTGAACCGAGCCCTGCCATTTTACCAGCCAGGTAACCTTGAGCAAGTCATTTAATCTCTTTCTGTGTCTTGGTTTCCCTCCCTGTAACATGGGGGTGACAATAGTACCTGCCCCCGAGGTTGTTCTGATGTGCACGAAGGGCCTGTGAAGGGAGCAAGTCTACATAGACAGAGCCTGAAGGCTCAGCCAGGACAGCTAATCTCATGCTTGATTGTGCCCATCAATTTGGGTGTCCATCCCATGAGCTCCCGGAGGGCAAAGCCATCTTCAGGTCTGTGTGACCACAGCTGGCAGGAGACCCAGCCATGGAAGTGCTGAATGAGTATGTGTTAATCAGAAAGAAGAATGAAATTGGCACACCAGGACAGCCTCAGCCTTTGTGGGGTGACAAAGTACAGCAGCCCCTTCACCCCAACAAGGATCTTCTTGCCACAGTCCACCAGCCTCATTTCTGAAGCTGCCCAGGGTGAGTTAGCCCTGAGGGAGTTCGTGGCTCCGACAGAACCATGGGTGTTACAAAACATTTGATCTGAATAGTCAAAAGGCTCCTTTATTTCAGCTCACAACATGCCAATTCAAACAGCAGTTTATACTTTACAAACTATCGTCTCCAAGATCTCATTGGCCTGTCACGGAAAGTCCTAGGAGGAAGGAAGGACAGAGCTTAACCTCTGGCCCGACGGGACAGTGGAAGGACGTACGTGTGCTCATATGGATGCCGAGTGCAGAGAGGAGAACTTCCCGTCTTCCCCTTCTCCCCTCCCCTGTCCACATCACCCGTACTGATTCCTGGAAAATGTGCCTCGTGCAGACCCCTCTCTGCCCTGTGAGCCCCAATCAAGAGCCCTGATTTTGTTAAGGGGCTGGTGACGGGTGGGTGAGCAGTGAGTGCTCGGAAGACCCTCCCTGCTGAACAATCACCACCTCCACCACACACACACCTGCATAAGGTCACATCATCTTGGAGGACAAGGGATATGTATCTACAACAGCCATCAGCACGTGTCACTCTGGCTACCACCGGACGCTCATGACTTTGGTAGTCACTGGACAACGAGGGCAAGTGCCTAAGTGTCCAAGACAGCAGGGTTTCCACGGGGTTTGGGTGGCTGGGGAGGGGCTTATCTTCAGAACTCTGCTTCCTGGGCATTGTGCTGAGAGTCTCTGTCTTAGCTGTCCCTGCTCCTGACACAGCTCATGATTCCAAAACAGTAGCTTATGCTATGAGTGAACACTGTACCATGCCTGACACAATGTGGTGATTGAATGACAGACCCCATATTCTGTCTGCTGTCTGCCTGTGGGCCCCTTCTTCCTCTTCAGTGACCCCTATCTTGCAGCAGTCCTTAGCAGGATAAGCAGCAGGTCTTGGCCCAAACCTGGGAATGTTAGAGGGAAAGGGTGTCCTGAACAAATTCTACAGATACAGGTTTTGTGGACTCCACCCCCCACTCCAGACATCAAAACGACAAATCCCATCATCACCAAGGGAGGGCTGCAGGGACCTAAGGGTGGAGTTAAGCACTACCTTTGATTAAAAAGAAAAAAACCAGACATGTGGGCCTTTGGGGGTCTCCTGGCCTCTTGGCTCATGGCTTATCTCTTGGCTTTTCATTGGCTCTCAGCGTGCTACGGGGGTTCCAGGTCAGCACAACGGGTAGGGTGCATTAACCAACTTATCTCTTTCCCTGACTTATGCATTTCCCTTTCTTTTGTAAATAAACCTGTTATTAGCCTGTGTGCCTGCAGGTGAATTGTAATATAAGCCCCTTTAAGTGCATGGGTGAAGACCCACAACCAGGAACCCAATTCACATTGGGGTTGCCCTGTAACAGGAACACTGACAAGAATACACAGTCCCTCAAACCACTCAGTGTTCCATGTCCTCTTAAGTAACTTAAGGAGGTTAGTTCTGTTTCCAACATGGCTGCCCCCGCCCATGGAGCTCCGGGCAACACACAGGCGTGCTCAAAGGTCTCTCTGAAGTCTTAGAGGCATGGTAACTTGCTGTTGGTTGTTCACTTGGGTATCTCTCAGAATAGTTCTCTCTGCTGAGAAATTCTTAGTAGTAATTTACCCTAACTAATAAATAATAAGAGCATTTCCTAGTGATGAAGGTCAAGAGTCTTTTCTAGGTGATGGCTCTAATGGGTTCTTATGGGGTTTATCATTGTATCATTCCAGAATCTCAAGTACACCAAATCTAGAGACCGAAGGAGCTAAGAAACCCCCCATCCTCCGGCCCTTGTTTGGGGTATGTGGAGCCCACCCAGCCCCACCTGGGCGGGCCAACCAGGCCAATTCCACGCCCTAATGGTGACGTTAGCCCGTTGCCATAGCAGCGAAGGCGGACATTCCGCGCTGACCTCACTGCAGAACCCGGCAGCTGTCACATGACGCGCGGGCAGGAGACCTGCCCGGCCACAGAAGGCCACCTGTTCAGTGAACGTGGTAGCCCCGACCCCGCCCAAGGCCGAGCCCCGCGCTGGAGGAGGCTTGGTTCGACCCCGGCCAGTCCAGCGGCCTCCCGGGCTGCGCAAACCCCGCGAAAGAGAAGGACGCGCGCGCCCCGGGCGGGACCCAGCCCCACCACCCCACGCGCGGGGGTGGGCGGCGACTCTAGCCCCCGCCCGGCCTCAGCTATCGCTCGGGAGGGACGACCACGCCCCGGGCCCCCACGCGCGCCAACTGACACCCCCACCCCGGCTTTCGAGTGGGCGGGGCGCCCCAGGGACGGAACGGCGGGGTTGGGGCTGGGAGCGGCGACTCACGCGTTGCCCACGTAGATCCTGGGGGTGACCTCGTTGCAGGGCTGGCTCGGGAGGCTGTAGCAGCCGCTGCCGTCCGAGAGCAGGTCGTTGAGGTCCTGCACCGAGAGCTCGACCGGGACCGACATGGCGGCGGCCGGGCCCTGCACGCCGGGCAGCAGCCAGGGAGGGAGAGCGGCCGGGTCAGCTGGGCGGGGGCTCCCGAACGGAGACCCGCCCCGTCCCGCCCCAGAGGCGGGCCCGTTTGGCGTGGAAAGTGGGGAGTGCTGGCTGCCGACGCGCTCCAATCCCCGGAAGCAGGAGCGCTGCCGGCGAGCCCCAGACGACCGCTGGGGTTACCCCTGAGGGTGGGAATACCGCTACTCATGAGCTTCGGGGGTGGGTCTTCTCCCCATTCCCAACTAAGGCATTTTCTGTATCTTTGCAAACTGAGAAGAGCAGTAACTTCACTGGATCAAATGCTGAGGGCAATAAAAATTCCTATTGACCAGTGCGCACCTGTTAAGAGGAAAAGTGAAGAACCACCTCCCAGCCGGCGGGTGGCGCTCATCTGTTGTTAATAGTATGTGAAACGCATTGCATGGCACCAGGGTAGGCCCAGGGAAGCAAAAATAGAAGCAATTAAATCAGCTATCTCTTGAGGATACAGTAGAGAGAGAAGGAATTCTCCGATTGGGGCGGGGTGGGGGGGTCCCTTGGAGGAAAGAAGGTTTAGCGCCCAATAGTATCCTGCAGGTTGCCCCTGTTGGTTCATTCTCGCCATCTGGATTTGGGGGACAGACAACTGTCCCACCTCAGGGTAACTCCTTTGGCTGAATTAGGTGCCCTGTCTGGTTTGAGGAGAAGTCCTTCCAGCCCTGTCCTGGAGAGGCAGAATTCATCCAAGCTGAATTTCAGCTAGAGTAGAAGGCTCAACCTCTAACCAAAATCAAAGCTGTAGAAAATGTTTGCACAAACACCCAAGAAGCCCTCCCGAAGCAAAAATCCTAGAGATTAAAAACCAGCCCCGTGCATAAATCTGCAGGCTTCCTGTAACATCAGAATCAGCTTCTAGACACTAGACTTTATCAGGTCACCCAAACCAACCAAAACTTAAAACAGCTGAAAGATTGAACCCACCTCAAATCAAATGTACACCAGGGCCTCCCTGGTGACAAAACAGGTTAAGCTGCAGCACTATGAAGCTATCCTCAGCCACTGCAGCACAAGTTCGATCCCCAGCCAGGGAGGTGACCCACATGGTGCAGCAGACCTCTCCTGCCTCTCCAGCTGCTCCCCTCAACAATATATGTCAGTCAATCTGCCTGTTCTGTTCCCCACACTGTCTCTGGTGAAATCTTTCACTGGCCTGCCCCGCAGCTCTTGTGTGCATCAATAAATAAATCTTTTAAAAACATGTACACAAAGATAATTCTACTGAAGTAAAATCAAGCTCCTCTAAATTAGGGACAGACAAATCTCACCACAGTTTCAGCAATTGCAACACACTTATGCTGGCCAAAGCAAGGAAGAAACTCGTGCACTGGCCAACCTCAGGTGTCTGGCCCCCCAGAGGGTGCCAAGCTGAAACACGGCAAACCCAGGGGGAAGGGGATGACCTAGTTGGTGGATCCCCAGCTGGAAGTTTAAGAATGCAGGGCATGACTTACCTGCAGACACACAGAAACAACGGCAGGACTTTTTAAAGAAGGGAGTGAGGAGAGGCATAGCTGAAAGGAGCTTTACAGGCTGGATGTGGCAACCTTTCGCACCCCAGATAGCATCCACTGAGGAGTCTGGGCTCCAACCTGAATCTCAAGCAGTTCAACTCCAAACGCTAGCGATTTCACTGGCAAAGTGTCAGCTCCTCCCCTGCTTCCCAAGGGGCTTTCATTGCCAACTCAATGGTAAAAGGTAGAGTTTGATTCCTTCCGCTGGGAGGGGTCCAATGGGCTATATGAGAAGCCTGCCACTTGAGCACGAGCCGCTCTGGAAAAGTGTGCGGCTACAGCTTGGACCTTAGCCTCTGCCCAGTGGACACTATCTGGGGTAGGACAGAGGGCATGTGGCCATGTGCCAGCCTACATACTCTCTTTCCCTTTCTCCCCTGGCCCTCTTCTCACTCCTGTGTAAGCACACCCTGTTACTGGTTCTCTTGTATTATGCCCCCTTGGGTAAGCCCACTGATGAGGACCCACCAGCCAGGTAGGTCCTTTCCCCCTAAGACTTGGCCCCATTTCACACCCAAGTGGATTTTTTTTTCAGATTGTTAGGGGAATAGTGGGGAGCAATGTCCCAGCCAGTGGGTGATGCTCATAGCCAAGGTGGGGTGCCCTGGACTCAATTCTGCTTCCCTGAGTGGAGCCTGCTGAGTTGAGCCAACAGGTTTACCTTAAAACTTGGAGCACAGGTACACCCCAATGCCCTATCTTTTTCTTCTTTTGGTGGCTTCTGGCTGCACCCTGGCCTCTGCTCAGTGGAAGCCACCTGTGAGCAGCAAAGAGTTCCCCCAGCCAACACATTTCCTTTTCCTTTTCTTAGTTCTCCCTTTTACAACTCCCTATGTAAATAAATCCTTTTGCTTGAATTTTGTGCACCTGCATTCCTAATCAAGCAGGTGAGGATGAGGACCAGGTCATCCCAGGCCCCCCAGGTTTGCCCCATTTCGAGATTACAGAGACACCTGTTCTCGGCTGGGACTTCCAGCTGCAGCTTGGAGCCCTGTCCCTGCTGTGCTGGCGTCACTGGGTGGGCGCTTGTCCTGTGGATTCTCCTGCCCTTTTACGGACCAGTGGGGGTCCCCATGCAGGTGAAACATTCCCAGCTCTGGGGTGTGTTTCTTTCAATAACCCAGCCTCACTGCTTCAAACGCTGGACTCTGTGCAGGCAGCACTGAATTCTGACCCTGGGGAATTATTTAACGCATCTAAAGCTGTCTGCCCAGGGCATGGGGCGAGGACAGCAACGTGACTTTCAAACAAGCATCCGGCATGCCATCGTGAGCACTCAGTAGATATTAGTCCTCCTTCTTCAGGGATGTGTTGCACACCCACTAGGAACTACGCCCTGTGCGAAAGTGGAGATGAACCAGGCTGCTCTGTAACTCTCTGGAGCAGCTTCCAGCCCACTCAGCCTCACGGTACCAGCAGCTCATCATCATTTGCTGAGATCCCACATGAGCAGACGACAGTCTTTGTCCGCCCCCAAGAAAGCAGCAGGCAGATCCCCTCCTACTCTACCCCCTGAAAAGCAAATCTGGTGCCCAGTCCTCTGGAAACCTGCACCCCGAGCCTAGCTCTGATGCTCACTTGGCCTCTGCTGCTCTGGACTTTAGCTTCCTTCATCTGAAAAATGAAGAAATTGAATCAGATGAGCGTTAGGATCATCTTTCATCTTCCTCAATGCAGTCCCACACTTGTAGATAAAGTACTGTCGTGGGCATGTAACCAAGGGCCCCACCCCCGTCCCCAGCCTACCCCAGGCCTCTCAGCACCACATCTGTCCTGTTGGTGTCCATGACATCTGCACTCCAGGCAGGTGGGAAAGTTCTTCATCCTGATTTAGGCCTAGACTAGCTTTCCAAGGAGAAGCTCAAGCACAGACAGGCAAGTTCTGCTGCTCCTCTTCCTTCCTGGAGACCTGCTCTGATGTCATAGCTGGGTAGCCTATGACAACATGTCATGGGGACAGCTAAGTACCCTCACAGAGGAACCCGGCTGCCTCATTGCTGAAGTGAGATTAGGAAGAGAAGATGAACAATTCCCTGGATTATCTAGCTTACCCTGTTATTGTGTCTAATCATAGACAGACCACAGCCTTCAGGAAGAAACTGGACTTTGGACACTACATATTTCACAAGAATAGAATACAAATAGGTACGTGGGTAGTTGTGGCAGGACATTGAGACTAGGGCTTGTGGAAGGGCCTCCACAGAACCAATGATAAGAAATGAGGCCGGCACTTGGCACTGCTGATGGCTCGGCCTTATCTGCTGAGCTGGGTCAAGTGATGAATCGGATCACCCCAGGGAGGTCATTGAGAGAAGCACTCACTTGAACTCTTAAAGCCAAGGTGAGCTAGAAAGAGGATAGGATTTCTGCCCCAACAGATAGTCACTTAGGGGAGGGGGGGAGGAGAGTCTCTTTCATCGGATTTACCTCTGTACATTTACTTTTTCCAGCCCTCATCATTCTCTCATTTCTGCTCAAAACTCTTTGAAGATGTCAGGTTGGGAAATTAAAATTCCTGAGTGGGATTAGGTCAGAACTGAAAATCATGCTTAGTAGTTATGGCCGCTGTCCAGGGGGGAGCAGGTGTAGGGGGGCCGCTGAGAGGCCGCCTGTGACCTAACAATCCTCTGTCCCTCTAACCTAGTGAAGCCAGCGGTGGACACCAAGCCTCCAATGGCGCACACGCATCACATTCTAAAACTGAGCAAGCTGCAGGTACCCGCCTTTGCCATCTGCAGTGGACTTGGGTTTCCCGCTCTGTCCTGAGGAAGCCACCTGCCCAGAGCCTCCTCAGCTCCTACCCAGCCAACGATTCCTTACGATTCCTCTTCCCCACTACCCCTCCCCAGTTTCCTAAATTCTGCTCCCTGATGCCCCCTCTTCCCAGGGCCCTGAGGGGCTCATCCACTGTGTTGGAGCAGGCGGTCCTGATGTCACCGTGGGGGGTGGGGGGGTTTCTCGCCAGGGTGAACAAAGGAGAATCGACAAAATTGAATATGAAAATAAGCAACTGTGTCAGAAAATCGCAAATGCCCATCGTGGCCCAGCTAAGGTGGATTGCTGGAATGAGTATTTTACCAAAAGGTAGTGTTCTTTCTTTTTATTTTATTTTCAGATTTATTTATTTATGCATACAGAACTGAGATACAGGCCAGAGGTGCAGGGAAGGTGAGAGGATTCACCAGAGACAGAGTGGGGAGCAGAACAGGCAGATCATTGAAGTACACTGCTGAGGGGAGCAGCGGGCGGGTCAGGAGAGGTCAGCTCCGTGCTGTGGGTCAGCTCCGTGGCCGGGAATCAAACTGGTGCTGCAGTGGCTTTTAGTAGTAGTAGTGCTGTGCTTTACCCGTTGTGCCACCACGGAGGGCCCTCTTTTTTTATTTTTGGAAAGTGCACTTGGACTTTTAGAGGCTCTTCTGAGCAGAAGGAATAGTTCAGGAGTCTTGCCTTGAGGGATAACCAGGTTGGATATTAGCAGTCGTAAAATTACCCCGAATGGGGGGCTTTCTCTAGCATTAAAAAACAGATTTCATCTAAGAGGCCTTTCCAGGTCCTTTTCAGATTTCATCAAGAAAACGCTGCCTACTTCCTGTAGAATGAAGAATGGAGCTGGCACTATGGCACTGCGGTTTTTTTTTTTTTCTTCCTTAAAACTATTTTTATTTTATTTATGCACACGAGCTAGGGTGTAGGTCAGAGATGTGGGGGTGACAGAGAAAGAGTGGGGAGCAGAACAGGCGGATTAACTGGCACTGCTTTCTTAAATAGGCTCCATAAATACAGGTTCCTGAGCAAATACTGTGTGCTAAGACCTGGGACTATAGAGACGCAATGAAATATTTACTTTCTGACCTCTAAGAACTCAAGGTCTGGTAAAGGAGACATTTACGATCAGGCTACAAAACAGGTGCAAGGAAAAGAATGGTGTGTGTGTGTGTGTGTGTGTGTGTAGAGGCAAATGTCATGATTCCTTTTCTATATTCTTGAATATCTAAAACTAAGATGACAACTGGAGGGAGTGAGTTAAACCAACACTTGTCAGTCATTTGTGACTTTTCCATAAGCTAGACCTTCCCCCATCATATAAGCCAGAGATGCTCAACCCTTGGGGAGCTTTGGCAAATGCTGTTGTCCAACATCTACCCCCGAAGTGGACTCTGCTAGTGGACAGTGGGGCTGTAAACCAGTCGTCTGATCTAAGCCTGCAGATACTTGCATATTTCCCAGCGTGCAGGCAGGTCCCACAAGTGAACCTGCCTAGCTCTTGGTGAGAGGCTTTGCTCCCTGCACTTAGGCAGCCTGGGTTTGTGACATCATGACTTCACCTCCCCCACCCCATCCAGGAGAGCAATTTTATTCTCTTCCCCATCTGGGGGGTGCTTTGTGTTTTTCAGCTTAAACAGAGAAGTAAGGAACCGGGAGCTATTGAGAATCACTGTGGAAAACCAAGGTATTCTGAAGAGGCTTGGTGATCGAAAACCCCACTATGATCGCAGGTCATCTGAGCTGGACTGGCAGGCACGTGGGTTCTCAGGGATGTGCCCAGAGTCCATCCATGTCCAGAGCAGACGGAACTCCTAAGCTTAGACAGCGAGCTCTTGAGATGCAATCATCATTATGAGGAAAATCACCTAAAGAACATGAGCGAACCATCCTGAGCTGAGATCCCCATCTCCTTGATAGCACAGCAATTATGCAAAAACAATGTTAACATCATCCCTTATCTTTTAATTCGTTACAAAAGGCTACAAGAGATTTCACTGAGGAAGGTATAAGCAAAAATTATGAGCATACAATTCAATATGAGGTTGATTTGCTTTATTAAGCAATCACACTTCTAAGAAGTGGGGCCAGTGGGGGGCATTCATAGGGTGGGAAGCCTTCTCCACTCTCGCAGTCTTTGGTCTAAGTCATTTTTAGGATTGAGAACCTCAACTTTAGCATGGGTACTCTGACAATGACATCAATCTTTCTGATTTTTTTTTTTTTCTGCAAGAATTCAAGGCGCTACATCAGGAATACAACAAGGTATCTTCTCTCCGGAGACCAATAGGTATGTCTTAACACAGCTGCACTTCAGCAAAACAGCGGTCGCAGTTGAAACACACCCCAAACGCAAGAGTGGAGAATGTGGGCTCAGGAGGGGGTCACTTTTGCTCCTTCGTAGCACTGTCCAGCTTAGAGAGCTGTATTTCCTGTCTCCATAAACTAGGAAGTGACCATTTTGTCATCAGGTTAGAGGCTGCACAGGAGTGTAGGGGGAAGTGATTTATTCCAATAATAACAGGAGGTCTCGTGGCTTTAATGTCATGCCAAAGTCACAAGGACTGTTGTGCTGGTATTTTATATTATTTAATATTATTGGTAATGACTAGCTTGTTTATTTCCCCTCTGGGGAAAAGGATAATGGGCTTTCTCAGGAACAATTCTGTATAACTGATGCATCTTCATTTCTCTCCCTCTCTCCTCAAATACAAGGTCACTCACCATGGAAAAAGACGCAAGAAGACCTAGGATTGCTTAGCTGCTTAGAATTTCAAGACACGCCTAAGTGGCTGAATGCTCTGTCTTAGTGTATACCAATAAAGCTTGGGACATGAAGTGTGTGAGCTACATTCATGGTATGCCAAGGCTTTTAGTTCCAGTGGGAAAAGAGAGGCAGAATGGAGCAAAGGGCAGCAAAGATCCAAAAAGCATTTTTATTTCAGCCTTAGGAAAGGAGAGAGAGAACTTTTTTAAACCGAACCACATTTTATGCAAGGGTACGAAGAGGTAAGTTCAGCTCTGTCAAAACATAAAGCAAAGGCCATTGGACAAAATTTAGGTTCAGACAAGACAGAACAGATGCTGCCCGTTCCTGTGTGAATACACAAAAGTGGAGGGAAGGCTTTGTTGGGGTCTCCCTGTATTCTGTTCATTTCCAGAGAGCAGCAACAGTGAAAAATGGCAAAATTATCTGAAAACATAAGGCAAGACAGGTTACACACTTGGCTTCCAGGACGGTTCCTGATGATTTTGAGTTTGACTTTTTAAACCTTTTTTGGAAAGAGGGTTGAGATCTTAACTGTTCTCATCACAAATTGGTTGCTTTTTTTTTTTTTTTTTTTAAATAATGATGGCTTAAGAGGAAGTTACAAATACATGTGCAGGGAAGGGGGGTCTTCCACACCCTTCTCCCGATTTCCCCAAATGTCATCATCTTGTGTAGCTGTATCAACTCAGGAAACTGACATTATTAGCACAATCAAATGTCGCAGGCACGTCACCCCTTTTGCGTGCACGAGACGGCTTTACGCAGTTGATGACGCACGCATGTAACTGCATTACCACAGTCAAGGTAGTAAGCTGTACCGTGATCAAGACCAGTGCATGCCCCTCGGGGCCACAGCCTGCCTCTTCCACCCTCTAGGCCTGGCAGTGGCTGGTTTCCGGCTCTATCACGAGTTATTTGGCCAGGGCTAGAGAAGTCTGAATCCAGCCTTCCCAGACCAGCTTCTTTCACTCAGTAGAATTTCCCGAGGTTCATCCAAGTCGTGTGCATCAATATTTCCTTTTAATTGCTAAGTATTATTCCACAAGTTTGATGTACCAGTTTGTAAGTATTCAACTCCTGGACACCATTTAGGGAGCTTCTAGATTTTTAAGGCTATTGTGAATAAAACAGCTATGAACATTTGTGCCCAAGTTTCTGCGTGAAGATAAGTTCAATTTCTCAGGGATAAACACCCAAGAGTGCAATTGCTGGGTTAAAACTATTTCCAGATTCGCTATAGATATATATATCATTGTACACTTCCACCCACAGATGGATGTGTGATGTTTTCTCCACATCTTCACCAGCACTTGTTTTTATTTTCTGTTGTTTTTTGAAATTCTAGCCATTCTGACATGTGACTTATCATATGGTTTTGATTTGTGCCTTTTTAATGGTCAAGGAAGATGAACATCTTTCTTGTGCGTATTTGCTCCTGAGCAAAATGTATTTCTCTTCTCCATTTTCTAATTGAATTGTTCATTTATTAAATACTGGATTTTGCACATTCTTTATATAGTCTAGATACAAGTCCTTTGTTGGATACAGGAGCTGCAAAATATTTTGTAGCAGTCTGTGCTTTGCATCCTTTTTCATAGTCAAGTATTTTAATTTGATGTCATGCAATTTACCAATGATGAAACCCTCATATCTTGACGGTATCAATGCCAACATCCTAGCACTGGGGGAAATAAGTGGAACACAGGACCTCTCTGTATTATTCTTGCACACATGTAAATCTATACTTATGTCAAAATAAAAAGCTAAAAAGAAAAATCAGTGTCCGAATCTAAATTCCTTATTAAACTGGTTCTAGCTAATCTTATCCATTCTTCTAGAAATCCAAGTTGCAACCAGGGATCATTCTTTACTTCTCTATCCCTCTTTCATCCCTTCCCCTCCTTACATATTTCAAACCTACCAGTCCTGCTGCTTAATCTCTGTACAGGCTGCTGCCCTTATTTCGGGCTCTTGAAATTCACAGTTCTATTAATGAAAAAAATATGCTTGCATCACTTTCTAGCTTAACACTAAAAGTGGCTTGCCATTCCTTCCAAAATAGGCCATACTTTAAAATAAAGTACACGAGACCCTCCCATGACCCCGTCCCTCCTGTTTTGAAAGCTTTATCAACATAAATTTGAGCAAGGGAAACTATACCTGATTTAAGTAGCAAAATAATTCACTGAAAGCATATTAAGTTAGTCTGCAGTTCTTCCTAGTAAAACTGTGGGCTGGTGGTATTCGTCTCTTCTATTGTCCTTGATGATATTCTGCCTAAAACTTGGCTCTTCTATTGTCCTTGATGATATTCTGCCTAAAACTTCTATCCATCGCTGAGAGAAGGATGTTGAAAGCCCCAATTCTAATTTAAGATTTGCTCATTTCACCTTCCAATTCTGTTGGCCTCTGCTTTTATTTTAAAGCTCTAGGATCTGTTGCCCACACATCTAGGACTGTTCCCTCTTGCTGTGCAGTGATGTGTCACCCATGAGGTCCCTTGTCCCTAAAACTCCTTCCTTTTGCTGGTCTACTTGAATGGCATTACTATAATCATGATGTTACAACTAGTTAGCATGATCATCACTGTCTTTACTTCCAGCCTCCCCATCTGCCCCGTGGACGGCGTTCTAGCTCGCGCCTTCTGACCTGTTCTGCTGATCTCTGGCTTGCACTGCTCCCTTCAGCCTCCTCACTCTGAAAAGATAATTTTCTTGTGTATTTCCCCTACATATACTGAGGGCCTCGCTGGTGGCCTAGGAGTTAAGTCTCAGCGCTTTCATAGCTATGGCCTGAGTTCAATCCCTGGCCCAGCTGACCCACATGGCGCGGAAGATCTCTCCTGCCGCACCTGCTGCTCCCCTCAGCCGTGGATTTCAGTCAATCTGCCTGTTCTGTTCCCCTCTCCGTCTCTGGTGGATCCTCTCACCCCACACACCCAGCTCTTTGGTCTACACCCCAGCTCTTCTATGCAAAAGAGTGGTACCCACTGAGTACCACGTCATGTGGTGGTACAGCTTCTGCTCTAACCAGAAAATAGGAGTAAAGGGACTCAAGAGGCAAGTCCAGGGCCCTCCCTGGTGGCACAGCACTAAGAAGCTAAAGCCACTTTCTCATGAGTTCGATCCCCGCCTGCTCCAGAGGTGACCACATGGCGAGGCAGACCTCTCCTGACCCGCCTGCTGCTCCCCTCAGCGGTGTACTTAGTTTATCTGCCTGTTCTGCTCCCCACTCTGTCTCTGGTGAAGCCTCTCACTGCCCCTGCACCTCTGGCCTGTACCCCAGTTCTGTATGCAGAAATAAAATCTTTTTTTTAAAAAAAGAGGAAAGCCAGTCTATTCTATTTACTTGTAGTTTACCTGTTCGTGGCATCTTCCTTTCTGAAGTCCCAGCCTGCTGTCACCTACTAATGCTTCAGGGTTTCCTCTAGGCAGTCTTTAAGAACAGGTTTCTGCAAGTGGTTTCACTTGACGGCCTTTCTTCTCTTTGGTTCCTGGAGGGCAGTTTCATGGCATATAGGACTCCAGCTGGCAGCTCTTGCTTTCAGCTCTTGATGAATGTCACCCTCGCTGGCCTCCCCGTTCTTTCTGCAGAGATACTAAGACTCGCATCGATGGGTTTTCTGGTGTTTTTATCTTAGTCTTTAGGTTTCAGGTGATTAATATGGCATGTCAAGGTATGAATTTCTTTGGGCGTATCCTGTTTGGTGCTTGTTAGCTTCTTAAGTCTGAAGATTTCTATCACTTCATCCAACTTGGGGAATTTTCAGCCATTATTTAAATATTTCTCACTCCCACACTTTCTCCTCTTTCTGGAACTCTGATGATTCAAGTTTTTAGTTCTCTTGTTATTGTCCCACATATCCCTGCAGCTTTTTTATTTTTAGTCTGATGTTCAAGATTAAATATATTTTATTGGTCTGAACTCACGTCCATGGAGTTGGTCTTGTCCCTTCCACTTGGTTAACATCAGTTCTTCGTTTTACGTTTTTTTTTTTTGTACTTCTACAACTTACACTTGGTTCTTTTGTATGACTTCTATTTCTTTGCTCATATTTGGGCTTTCTTCCCAAAAGACCTTGTATTTGATAGCTGAAGCATTTTTATCACAATTGCTTTAAAAGTCCTCATCGGGGGCCCTCCCTGGTGGCACAGCTGATAAACGCAGCACTAAGAAGCTAAAGCCACTTCAGCACGAGTTCGATCCCTGCCCTGGAGGTGACCCACAAGGCGCGGCAGACCTCTCCTGACCCGCCCGCTGCTCCCCTCAGCAGTGTACTTCATCAGTCAGCCTGTTCTGCTCCCCTCTGTCTCTAGTGAATCCTCTCACCACCCCTGCACCTCTGGCCTGTACCCCAGATCTGTATGCATAAATAAATATTCTATTTAAAAAATTTTGTAGCTGCATTCCCAGCGTGGTGCATGAGTAGCTTTTTCCTACATTCTAGATATTAGGGATCCCTTAATCCTATTTACATCTTCTGCAGCAAGCAGGAGCCTGCTTATGGAGAGCATATTCTTTCTTCTTTTATGGGTTTTCTGACCCCCTGCAATACCATTCTGGCCAATTTTGTTCTTGTGGGGTGGCTGGGCTCCCACTCACTCCGTGCCAGTGCTTCTGTGGTGTCAGGTGTCCCCCTGGGCTGTAGGTGCCACTGCAAAAGCAGGGCAGCCCCTGTTGGCTCCAGACCCCCAAAGCCTCTGTGCAGAGGGCAAGGAGGCAGGGCTTGGCCACCGCTGCTGGGATACAGCTGGGCAACCTGCTGGTGCCCTGGTGTGACGCTAGGGTTGGGGTGCCCCACTAGGTTTCCACTGGACCCCTCCTTTCTTTTGGCAGAGAAAACAAGTTTTCTTTATGGGTCTGAGGCTTAGCCTACGGGGGAAGGGGAATACATGGGAAAAGAAAACTTGGGACACTTACCACATTGCTGTTCCTCAAGTTCTGAGGTACTAGTCAGCACCCCACCTTTTTTCCAGCTCAGTGATTTATAAATAAGCCACCACATGCTCTCACCTAGCCTGTGCCGGGTGGCATAAATGAAAGTGACGTGGGAGGAGTGGATGTAAAACACTGATGTCGGCCGCGTGTCTCACAGCACGTGGATTTGAACACTGAACAGTCCAAGACTGTTGGCTAATATTTACCATAGCTGAGCACTGCCTGCAAAGCACTGCAGGGGAAGGAGTCATGGCAAGGAAGGTTAGAGATGGCTAGATCAAGGACAGCAGTGACAGGATTAACTCACTTGCTAATTCTGCTCAACTGACCCTGGATACTATGTCCTGAAAGATCCAAAGTGGGGCCCAGACTCAGCAGAGGGGCTTCACCGGTTAGTAACGTCCAATTAGTAATGTCTGATTAGTAATGTTCGATTAGTAATGTCTGCCCTGGGTGCAAGAAAGGGCAGAGACAGCACATAAAGCTCACCCACTGCCATCCCTGCTGCACAGAAGCCCTCTAGAGCTCACATTCTCCAGTGGCAAACACAGACAGAGAACTAGCCTAACTCTGAAGGCCCAAGGGGGAAAATACAGCTTGAGGCATATGTGAAAGAATTCTTTGTGTGGGGAGCCAGAATGATGGATTTTGGAAAAAACTTTGCCCAGAGGTTCAGAACCTATGAGCTGCCAACTACAGAGAGATCTAGAATTATATTTACACATATTCCACCAATTAATTCTTTTTAAAACAATCTTGCTTTTTATGAACAGTAAGAATGACCTCTACCTCTCAAGCCCTAGTCTACTCTTCACAGACTTAATAGCAGACAGATGTAGACACAGCTTGTTTTCCGGATGGGGAAGCTACTCTGACAGGAAACAAAGCAGGCATCATATGTTTATGCTTTCACATGAAGAGAATTATCACCATTTCATCTAAGGATTGTGAAGTATTGAGTAAGAAGCAGAAAATGTCGCTTAAGTGGGAGACAGTGAGACGTGCCTGGCACTTACCTGCCGTGTTCCTATGCTGGAGGAAGACCACCAGGTGGGACTTGCTAGAGCTTGGCTAGAATCCACCGTGGTTCCTCCCCCAGGGGATTTTGCAGGAGTAATTCTGACTTACATGTTTTGCCTCTGAGTTGACTTCAGATGTGGGAGCTCCTGTAAATCACACAGCTTTGCATGTGCCACTGATACTTGAAGCTGCTCTGGGCAGAACAGCTCAAGCCCAATTCCACTTGATGGAACTTGAAGCTGCTCTAGGCAGAACAGCTCACGCCCAATTCCACTTGATGGAACCCCATACATCTTAGGTTAAGTGCAAAGAAGCCTTTTTGCTAGAAAGGTCTGAATATGATCCTGTTAGGTTGGTGAGCTAGAAATTCAAAAGGTGTCTCTGTGCAAGAAGGCAAAATGGGAATTTCTAAATGGGCTGAAAACCTCCCTGTGCTTCACCCTTAACCTGGCCTCTTCTCACAGGAAAGTTTGAAATCGCTGCACGTCAGCAGCCTCTTCAGTCTGAGCAGGCACAGCCACATGTCTTCTTGCAAATCCTAGTTACAAACATGCTGTTCATAAAGGCCTCGGGCCTGGGACCAAAAGAATAAGGTCGCAGGGTCATGATTAATGACTGTCTGGTATTAGAGAACTTTGGGTTCAAATACTAAAAGTGCTTCCATTTTTTAAAACAGGGAGAGTTCGAACAGATTACACATTCTTAGCCTTGTGTTCCTCATTTGCACAACATTCCTGGTGGTCTAGTGGTTTGGATTGGGTAAACTCTCTCTCTTTTGCGTCACAGGGCTAGAATCCTATGTCATGATCCTGAGACAAAATAGATACACACTGTCTATGAGAAGTAAAATTCTGGGCCCTCCCTGATGGTACAATGGGTTAAAGTGCAGCACTATGAAGCTGTCTGCAGCCACTGCAGCACGAGTTCGATCCCCACCCCGGAGCTGACCCCCATGGCACAGCAGACCTCCACTGCTCGCCTCAGCAGTGTACTTCGTCAACCTAGCTGTTCTGCTCCCCACTCAGTCTCCGGGGACACCTCTCACCACCCACACCTCTGGCCTGTACCCCAGCTGTTATATGCATAAATAAATAAATCTTTGAAAAAATAGAAATAAAATCTCCAAGTATCTATGTCACAAATCCTGTGTGACACTAAACACTTTGCTTGTATACAATTGATTGGGCCCACACAGAGGCTATATGCTTTGGACAGTCAGAACCACAGACCGTGACTTAGCCATTATATTGAATCATCTGGTTCCTATGACAAGAACCACCACAACATAAAGGTAGGGAAAGGCAACAAGTGGGGCAACTGTCCTAACACGAGGGATAGTAGATAGAACGGAACAATCAACAAATCAAAATCAGGGCCACGTGTGGGAGCCAGACACCACCAAGACGGGAGACCAGCTGTCCACATTCCTCAAGAGTCCAGAGACCCCACGGTCCTACAGGGCAGGGCGGTGACTCACTGTGACGGGGCCATGTGTCTGCCTCTTCCCTAAGTCTGCGCATGCTCACGCTTTTGAAAGGTAAAGAACCAATTTTCTGCATTGTCAGACACTCATTTTAAATTAAAAAATTTTAAATCAATATTTTGATGCTGAAGGCAGGGGAACTTTCCATTGCATGGAAAACCCTCTGGGGTAAAACAACTCCGCTTCCCACAAAAGCAGACAAACGAAGGGTCACTCCTTAAGGCCTAAACCGAACGTCTCTGCAAATCAGACTGTAAAGATGCCCCCATCAACACCCCCAAAAGACAGTGGCTACTTACTTTGGTATAAACAATCAGGGTCCACTTGCCTGCGACACTTTAATGAATGAAATGTGTTACTTTGTGAGACGCCCCTTCTTCACTGGGTTTTCTGCTCCAAAGGGGCCCAGTGAAAAGCAACAGACAAAACCAACAACAAGCAAGCTTCCCACTTAAACTCTTCTTGATGATGGAGTTCATGGCAAATGCTGTTCCTTCCCACGCTGGAAAGCCTTCATGGTAACTTGGGAGGGCTGGACTGGGTGGTCTTCTGGGTCCTCTCCAACCTGGACGGTCTAGGGTCGAGTCACCTGACCCAACTGACGGGGACCCAGTGAGTGTCCTTGCTCAGCTCCTCCAGCAGCACTGTGAGCTGGCCATGTGCGGCCTGGAGGTCCTCGCTCACCAGCACGGCGTCCACCAGGTGCCCGTAATGCTGGTCTATGAAGGCGGCGGAGGCGACCATCTCCTGCTGCTCCTCGTCCTGCAAGGAAAGGGGCGGTTCTGGAGCACTGGGGTGTGGATCCCAAATGAGCAGCCCACAGCCTTTGCTGTGGGTCGAGTTCCCAACTTTCCTCATTGTGAAGTGGTGTGTGGATGACTCTGGCTCATTAAAAGCCAAACGCATACACAACAACTGTGCCTGACGGTACCCAGCAAACTCCCCGCGACAGTTACTGAGCATGAGCACTGTTCATGCATTCAGTCACAGGACATGTTTGAGAACCTGAAGGGCAGAGCTCTGGGGGATGCGGATTATGAGCACATATACATAAAATCACAATTCCTGTCCCAAAGACATAGTATTACTGTGTTGCGGAATAATTTGATGAAATAATTACAAGATGTAAATAATATGAACTGTATGAAAGTAAGCACTTCAGACACATCTGAAGCTGTCTCACGTTAAATGGGACTTCAATAAAAATAAAAGCAAAGCAAGCATTTTCTGGCTTAATGGGGGAGGTGAGGGAGAGTGAAGTCACTTTCATGTCTGCGGAAGACTTGGACACTGATAATGTAGAACTCAATTCTTTGCATTTCCTCATACCAGGGCCAAATTCCAGCACAGTAGAATTATTTAAGAAAGTGCTGGGACAACCCCGGTCAAATCTCCCACTTCCTGAGGCCGCCTGCTGTCTTCATTAGATTACGTTCCTGGCTCAGGTGGAGACAGCCGAGAATTTCTCCTTCATCCAACCACACAGGGTTTGCGTCGCCATCAAAAGAATCTCTAACAGGATTCAAGGGGTTGCCTGACAGTTGGGTTTGGTAAGAAATGGAAAGTAGCAGATTAAAGTAAAATTACGAAACCGAAGCTGGCACTGCCCTCTCTCCCCTGTCTATCCTTCCCATCCTCTGTTGTCTTCTGTCCTCCACTCTGGGCGTCAGTGTTTATATGCTGCTACGGAAGGGGAGGAGGCCTGTCCTTTCCGGAAGAACTCCACATTCCACAACCTTCTCTTCTCTTCCGTCACCATCAAACCAGATTAGGAAGAGCATCTGCAGCTTCAGAAGGTCTGTTCTGCAGGGCTAGGGAGGTTTTTGCATGTTGCTACAAAGAACCCAGAGGAGGCCTGGAGGTACTTTCTTCTCTGCTCTCCTCCACTTGGAGCAGAAAAACTACATCAGCTTGGGAGAAGGTCCTCCACTCGGAATAGAACCTGGCAGGGGTTCTGTCACTCTCAAAAACATCTGACGCCCCAGCCCTGGCTCCTCCACCACCCCTTGCACACACCTCCTGGAGCACGGGAGGCTGCTCCTGGAATTCCCTCCTCCTCGCACCTTTCCTGCTCACCCTTAGCCACTTGAAGGAACATTTTTGCCACTAAGTACCTCGACCTTCCTATTATTTGTATCCTGAAAAGCTCTCTAATGGAGTTTAAATGTGGGGCATTTGTTTTGCAGCCTCAAGTTCTCTGAAGTCTTTTCTTGGCCTCTGAAGATGGAGCTCACCCCCTTGCAGGAGTCACAGTCACAAACTGCACACAGGAGAGACGCCCCCCACACGCGGCCCCAGGCCCACACTGGACCAGCAGAAGCCCACTGACATGGGGGCAGCAAGCTGATGCAGAGACAATGCCCAAATTGTGTTGATGCCGCAGGCTCCCGGGCTTGGGACGTGGGTGCCACACAGCAGACAAACACTGAAGGTCACCCGAAATTCAGGCTTTGACGAGATTTCTCCAACAGGGTCTGGGTTCTGCCTACGCCCATCCAAATCGGGGAAAGGGTCCGTGTTAGCCCTACTTACAACCACCCAGGATCCCTGGGAGCAGAGCCAGCAGCTGCATTTTAAAGGCCCCCTGTGAGCCTGGTGCCTTCTCATGCTGAGAATGACGCCCGACGCCCGTTTCAGGGAAGTGGGGCACCCACAATTGGCGGGTGAACTGAAAAGACAAGAAAAGTGCACTGCTTGCCCGCCTGCCGGGAATATCCCAGAGGAGCTGGAACCGGTGGAGGTGCCGGTCAGGGGAAGTCACGGGGAACAGTTCTGCTTCTCTGGACAAGACAACCATGGGCTGGAGGAAGTTCTGACTCCCTCCAAACGGCGACTTCTGGGGACCTGAGAACTTGATAGAATGTTCTTTGTGTCCTAGGACTTATTCTAGGCTCTTCTTCTCCCTTATGTCTTCTTGGCTCTTTTTTCAAATGTCATTGCCTCCTGATGACTAAATTCTTTTAACCCTAAAATAATTGTTAAAAAAAAATAGCAGAACAGGGCCCTCCTGCTGGCGCAACAGGTTTAAGTGCAGCACTGCGAAGCTATCACAGCCCCTGTGGCACGAGTTCGATCCCCAGCAAGGGAGCTGACCCACAGGGAGCAGCAGACCCCACCTGTCTCAGCTGCTGCTCCCCTCAGCGGTGTATTTCGGAACAGGCAGAACATCTGCCTGTTGCTCCCCACTCTGTCTGTGGTGAATCTTCTCACCCCCTGGAGCTCTGGCCTGTACCCCAGTTCTGATGCATAAATACATAAATCTTAAAAAAAAAAAAAAAAAGAAATGAAAGTGGACAAGGGACTTAAGTATACACCTATAAATCCTTAAACTAGAGGAGTAAATTTTATGATCTTGGACTAGACAATGCTTTCTCAAATATGATAGCAAAAATATCAGTGAAAAAGAAAAAACTAGATACATCAGACTTCCTTAAAATTTTTAAATTTTGTGCTTAATAGGCCATATCAGAAAAATAAAAAAACAACTATCATCTATCAACTATCGTCTATCATCAACTATCATCTATCCATCATCTAGCTGATAAGGGCCTTCTGAAATCCAAGCTATATAAAGAATTCTTACCACTCGAGAATAAAAAGATGAATAATCCAATTTAAAATGTCCAAAGTGACAGACATTTCTCTAAAGATATACAAATGGCCAATAAACACAAGAGGCTAAATATTATTAGTCATTAGGGAAATGCAAATTAAAACCACAGTGAGCTGTCGCTTAACAACACTGGCTGTTTATAATCAAAAAGACATACAATGGGTGCTGACGAAGAGGCAGAGATTTGGGCTCTGAATGGGCGGTGTGAGGGGAAAATGGCGCAGCTGCTGTGGAAGAACGTCGGAGCAAGAAACAATCAGAGCGTGATCAGCAGTTACTCAGCAATTTCACACCTAGGTATATGACCGCGAGAAATGAAACACCTTCACAGGGAAATCTGTACACAAATGTTCACAGCAGCATCATTCATAATAGCTAAAAAAGTAGCTATTAATGTTCATTGATTGATAAATAAACAAAACATGGTCCTCTATACATGGGCTATCATTGAGTTGTAAAAAAGGGTGAAGGGTCTCCCTGGTGGCTCAAGGGAGTCTCAGCTCTATGAAGCAGCCACTACAGCGGGAGTTCGATCCCTGGTCAGGGAGCTGACCAACATGACGCGGCAGACCTCTCCTGACCTGCCCACTGCTCCCCTCAGCAGTGTACTTCGTCCATCTGCCTGTTCTGCTCCTCGCTCTGTCTCTGGTGAATTCTCTCACCCCCCACCCTACCTCTGGCCTGTACCCCAGCTCTTACATGCATAAATATTGAAATTGAACCTTAAAGAAAAAATAATGAAAACCTGATCCAGGAATAAACCCTAAAAGCATTAATTAAAAGAAGCCAAATACTGAAAGATACCTATTTATGATTCCGATGACACAAATGTTTAGGACAAATGAGTCCAGGATAAAACAGACCAATGGTTACATGAAGTAGGAAGGGGCCTGGGGAATGGAGGAGGGGAAATTCTAATGGGCTCCGGGTTCCTACTGGGGTTGATGAATGTGTGCCAAACCTATGAAACCAGTGGGGAAGTGGGTCCAGTGGGTACTCTGGGTGCCCTGGTGGTGGGTGTGGTGTAGAAGCCTGCATCTGAGGAGGTGTGACCCTAAACCTCTGAATCACATACAGTCTTGTAAAAAAATTATTGACATTTCTACTAAAAAGTTAAGATTTCAGGGCCCCCCTGAAGTTGGTGGTGCAATGAGTTAAGGTGCTGCACTTTGAAGCTGCCAGAAGCCCCTGCAGCACAAGTTCGATCCCCAGCCAGGGAGGTGACCCCCATGGTGCAGCAGACCTCTCCTGTCTCGCCCACCACTCCCCACAGCAGCGTACTTCCTCAATCTGCCTGTTCTGTTCCCCGCTCTGTCTCTGGTGAAGCCTCTCACTGCCTCTGCGCGTCTGGCCTGTACCCCAGCTCTGTATGCACAAATAAATAAATCTTCAAAAAAATTTTAGATTTCAATGAATCAACAGTTAGAACAACACTCTTAAAACCAAATACTCTGGGCTAAATAATAGCCAACCACTGCCATTTTGACAGTTTTGGTTAAAATATTTTTAGCTAATGAAGAACAAAATATGTTTTGTACATTCATGACATATGTAATTTAAGCAAAAAATAAAAAAACCAAGCTGATTTTGGTGATGAATGCACAATTCTATGAATACACCATTGTATAACTTAAACACATGAATTGTGTGGTCCATGAATATTACCTCAATGAAGGTGCTAATCCCTACCACCAAAGGGGGAAAATACTGGAAAACAAAATCAAGTCTTGAGCTCACTACTGAGGGAGAATTGATTTTAGCCTCTTTTGTATGTGACACAAACTTAGAATCATACCTTGCTGTTTTCATTTAACATTTTATTGCATTTGGCTATATCATCGACCATTCCTGAGACATGTGATTGTGCTGGGCTATATAATATTCCATTCCATATGGGGAATGTCGTACCAAGCCTGGCTATTGGACACTTAGGTTGTTTCTGATTTTGCTTTATCAGTATCATGTTCCCAGAGTTCTGGGAGGGGGAGACAGCTAATGTTCTCTCTTGCCATCACTGAGTAATTAGTAGGTGTGAACAACCACAACACGGAACTGGTACCAACGAAGCTTGCACCCTGGGGGAGATGCAACAGAACCTCCCTCAGATGGAACTCGCCGTGCTGGACAGCAAGCAGTGTCTACACTGGAGCTGGGTTTTTTGACTCCCCCACAACAACTGCCAGCACATCCTCTCACTGACCCCGTTTAGAACCAGAAAAGATGAGTCACCGGGCCCTGTCTCCTAGGAGGACTGTGCCGGGTATCACGTTTCTTAGTGGAAACTCCTGCCACCAACTTGGCTAAACAAGGACTCTATGACACTTAAGCAGAAGTTCATTTAGAAACACATCAGATGAGCTCATCTTCTTGTTTTAGAAATGGATTAAGGCAACCTCATTTGAGGGCCCGGAGAATGGCCTTGGTGTTTCAATTTTAAAATAGCTTAGGAGTTCCGCAGATCCATGTGGCTCGGAGGTCCCCTGTGTGCCCTTTATTCCCTGGGAGGGAGCAGAGGATGATGGGCCGGAACCAGCCCAGCCCTGCCCGAATGGGCAGCCCCTCTGGACACGTGACCCCTTAATTCTCACCGGTAGGCAAAATGGAAAGACGATCTCCAGCAGAAGGTACAGGCCCTTCACTCCCTGGAATGGGCTTCTTCAGAAAAGAGATAACCAACTTGAAACTTACAAGCGGGGCTGTTGCGTCCTCGCCAGCTGGGGCCGTGGGGGACGTCTTCCTTGTCTCCTGAAGGGCAGGCTTTACAAATATGACGTAGGGCTTGAAGTCTGAGGTCCTCAGTTGTTTCAGCGCCTGAGAAAGCAAGTTCAGAGTATGAGAGACTTCGGAAATCTGCCATACAGAAGATGCTCTTCAAATGCCAACGCTAATGCTGTGTGCGCTCCATCCCATAACCTCCACACGGCACTCAGTCGCCTGACAGCAGGCTTCCACTGGGCAGCCTGGAGGCCCATTCACCAAGGATGGGGGTGGGGAGGGAGTTCCCAAAGTCACCGCTCAGTGGCACCACTGCTCAGACCCTGGAGCTCTAATTATCTGTGCAAATAAAATTCTGAAATTTAAATTTTTCATTTTGACTCTTAATGCCCAGCAGCCCCAGTGAGTGAGGGATTTCCTGTACAGACACAGGGTGCTTTTCTGAAATCGGCTTCAAGCAAACTTCTATATATCAAAGCCTACCCTGTACCATAGAAATCAGGCATCTGGTTCCATCATGGCGGGGCCGGGGAGGGGGATTCCCAGGCTGAGTTCAAAGCTCAGAAGTTTTCCTCAAAGATAAGGCTAAAAAGATGCTCACGGGCCCTCCCTGGAGGTGCAGCGGGTTAGGACGCAGCACTGTGAGCCGCCTGCAGGCCGCAGCCGCTTCAGTGCGAGTTCCATCCCCGCCCTGGAGGTGACCACATGGCATGGCAGACCTCTCCTGACCCGCCCACTGCTCCCCTCAGCAGTGTACTTCCTCGACTTGCCTGTTCTGCTCCCCACTCTCTCTGGTGAAACCTCTCACTGCCCCCTACATGTCTGGCTTGTTGTACCCCAGTTCTGTATGAATAAATAAATAAATCTTTAAAAAAAAGATGCTCACACAGGATGCAGGTGTGCAGAGCAGGAAAGGGACCTGCAGCTTGCCACAGGCCACCTTCCTCCCTCCCTCTCCTTCGGGCCGCCCCCCCACCCCTCCCTCCGTGATGTGCTAAGCCACAGAGCTCACTTGTCCTGTAAGGGGAGGGGCGAGGGACTGAGAACCGAGCCTAGGCCTCTACCCTCACTGCCCCGTGCCCTGACTGCCACGTCACCAACGACCTGCCCGGCCACCTCTGCAGCGTGACTTTCTCTACCCACGTGCCACTGTCCCAGGTCTGTGGGCCACCAGGAGGGTCCACATACTCCCACCATACATGACTGCAGTTTGAGGGATCAACGCTTTCATTAGCTTCTTTAAGGGAAACCCAAGGTGCTCTGTGTGAAACGCACAAGCCCCTCATGCATAAACCCTGCAAACAAGAAATGCCCGGCTGGTCCAGGAACTCACGTCTGGCTCCACGTCCACCAAACAAACTTTGTTTTTGGCCATCACGGCCTGAATGGCCTCCAGGCTGGTGCCATAGAGATTTTCCTTGTATTCACCATGCTCCAGGAACCTAAAACACCACCAGGGGGAGAGGCCGTGAGCTCCCTGGCTTGCCTAACTCAGCGCAGAAGATGAGCAGACTTCTCTCCCGCTGCCCGCACGCATTCTGGAACCCTCCCTGCAGGTGCAACGGGAGACTGGCGATGCCAGGGGCCACCCCACCCACCCACACCCATACTTGTTGTGATGCAAGTCGGCCTCAAAGGCTTGCTTGGAGACAAAGTGGTATTCCACCCCTTCCTTCTCGTGGCTCTTCCGAGGCCTGGTGGTGTCTTTGAAAGAAAGGTCAGGGAAAGAGGTCAGGTCACGGAGAGCAAGTGCAGCAGCACACCTGTGTCCTCTTTCCTTTCAGACGGTCACGGCTGGCTTGTGACAAATCAGCCACCTCCTACGTGCGCCAGACACATCCCAGGTTCACACGAACCTGTGACGGCAGCCGGAGGGAGGTCAAGCCGCTGCCAGCCCCACAGTGGGTAAGCAGGGCCAGGTCTGCCTCCTGCCGAGCGTGGGCCTTTGACCACTCTGCTAAGCGGCCTCTGTGCTTTTAGAGACACGCTGAAGGGGCCTTTTATTTCCAGCCTTGTTTCCTGAAGCAAAGGGGCACACTACAACCCCCTCTGACTGCACGCTTTTCATTCTTTTCTGTTTGCTTGCTTTGGTATATCCACAGCCACCTCTCTGACCAGTGCTTTGAACTGTTAGACACCAACTGATACATGAGGAACACTTTAAATGCATGGATAGCATCCTCGCCACCCACTCACATCGCCCCGCCACCGCTGTCCATTCCAACCTACAGGTTCCTGACTCTGCCACACTGGGTCACACCGTGTCCCTTCACACACGCTGCTGCCTCTGCACAGAAATGCTTCCTTCTTTCTCTTAGCAGAAAGCAACCATTTACTCTTCAAAACCCAGCATAAAAGCCACTGTCTCCGGAAAGTCTTCCCTGACTCTCCTCGTTCCAAAACCAAAGCAGAACAGCTACGCATCTGCGGAGCACCCAACAGCAGGGAGGCTGACCATTTGGGATCCCTTCCCGGGGGTCCTCTGGGCCTCTGAAGGACCCGCGTATGAGTAACTTCCACGTGTCCTGTGTCAGGCACCTGCAGTCTGGAAGGCCACGGCCTCTGAAGCCAGCCTGCTGCAGGGGTACCGTCCTAATGGCCTCTCCAAGGCCCTTTCTTCTCCCCAACCCAAACACTACAGAAAGGATCTACAAGATGATTCTGATAACCCACAGACTCGGGGCTCTGAGTCTGGGTGCCCAGGCCCAGGTGAGGCGTCTGATAAATGAAGGGCTTGGTAGTTGCCTATTCTAGAACACGCTGGAAAGATCCATTACTGCCACTGCAATGTCCCTTCTCAGTGGCCACCAGGTGCCCACCCTGCATCCCCCTAAGGCCAGAGGGACAAAGAGTGAGTCCCGGAGAAGAAAGGGAAGCCAAGAGCAGAAAGTGGTAGGTAGCAGGGAAGAGTCTGTTACTGGGGCCAGTCTGGTGAAGAACGGGCCCAGGGCAGGCGGGAAGGGTTTGAATATGGGGTGACATCAAGCATGACACTGAACCTCTCCAAGCCTCCGAGTCTTCCTCTAACCTCTTCTCAGGGTTACGGGAGTAACTGCACATAAAGCTCTTGGGGTCATACCTAGCACCCTTCATCTTTCTTATCACAACCATAAGCAGGAACCCCCCGCGCTGGATCCCAGCAGAGCGGCTGCCTCTGCCCAGCCACCCCGCCAGGCTGGACCGACCCAAGGGGGCTCCCAGGCAATATTGCCCAGCTGGCTCTCCGGCCTCCCTGACCTGCTCCCTTACCCAAGAGGAATGCAGGGGCCGCCTTGTGGGAGGCCCCTGGTGTCGGGCTGAGGTTGCACACAACGTGCTCTGGACTCACCTCCCACCCAGGGGGGAGCTCGGCAAATGGCCTTCAGCTTCTGCCTCCGGGGGTCCTAGTGGACATCATGCCTAGGGTCCATGATCTTCCCATAGGAGACAGTGTCTCAAACCACACACACACACACACACACACACACGGCCTCCTTACGTGGAACAGCGACACCAAAGTGCTGTGGGTTCTCAGCCACCACCTTTTGCTTCAGTTCATGCAGTCGGGCTCCCAGAGACCCTGGAGAAAAGAGCGAAGACTGACCAGGGAGCAGGGACCCTGCTGAGTGCCCTCCTCCCCACTCCAAGGCAGGAAACGAGCCCCCGCCTGCAACGCCAACGTCACCTACCGATCAGAACCACCAGGCGGGGCCGCTCACCCGGCTGGTGCTGGTACCTCGTCACCTCCTCGTAGGTCAGCAGCTCTGGAGACTCAGCTACTGAGGACATTTTCCCCTCCTGCGGGCTGCCCACTCTCTCCCGACGGCCCAGCCGGAAGCTCCTCCGAAGACCAGCTGGGCGGAAGAGCAGGGGGGCACTGAGGCTTGTATCCTGGGATCTCCGAGTAAACTGCCTCTACCTGGCCAGGCCTGGAGGTGGGACTGTGCCCCACTCGCCTCTCCAGTGGGACACACATGAATACGATGAAAGGGCCCCCATCTGGCACCCAACAGTTAGGGGTCAAGGTCACGGCTCCACATGGCATCAACTCACCTTGGGCAAGTCATCACCACTCTGAGCCTCAGTTCCCTCATCTGTGAAATGGGAATACACATCTACAAACGCAAGGTGTGGTCTGGATCCTGGGGGAGTGTTCTAAAGGATATTCCTGAGACACCAGCAAAGTTTCATATGAACAGCTTGCTGGACGCCAGGACTGTAGGCCTGGGAAATCCCCAGATAACTGGTAATTGCCCTGGGCTGGAAACAGAATGTCCTTGTCCTTTGGGAATGATACACACTGAGATATTTGGGGGTGAAGGGGCATGACGGCTACAATTCACTCTCACACGATTCGCAGAGGATATGGCAAAAGGAAATGCAAATAAAGCAAACCCAGCAAAACGCCAGCTGGTGAATCTGGGTGTAAAGTCTGAGGGAGTTCTCTGTGAATTTACAACTTTCAGTAAGTCTGAAATAACATTAAAATGAAAAGTCAAAACTTCATCCCTAAGACCGCTGAAGATGAACCAGGACAGAAGCCGTGAAGGTGCCCTGGGGGCTGGTGAAGGGCACTGCTGTTTGGTGGCGAGAACATTCCCGAGCCACTGCTCAGGCAGCAACAGTAATGCAGCAGGTGGCCCACGGCCTGTTCCTGCAGGGCTCTGCTCCCAGTGGCTGCGTGAAACTGGGACAGGCGGCTCCAAGGCCTGGGCAGGTCAAATCTCCTCAGGCTGGCAGAGACCTTGGGGGAAATGTGGGTGCCCAGGCTCAGATGCTCCTGAAAGATTCTTGGGGCTCAGGTCGTAGAGCTCTATCTCTCCCTGAGAACCCAAGGTGGACTGTGCCCAGGTAGAGGGAGGGGCTTGGGGGCCAGTGTTCACTACTCACCCACGTAGTGCCCTCTGAAGTACCCCTCACAGTCACAGGTCTCTGGGAAGCAAAGAGAGAGGGCACTGAGGTGGACATGAGCCATCATAGACGTGCGTCCCAGCCCACAGGTACCCGGGCATGGAGGGCCAGTCTGAGTCCCCCCCAGACTGTGTCCTGTGGGACTCAGGAGAAACCCTATGTTCTAGCCACCCCAGAAAAACAGGTTCTTCTCATTTGTTCAGTTCTCCACGCCTAGGCCCCGAGAGCCTTTCTAGGTCCTGCGGGGGGCTGGGGCCACTGGGCCCCATTTCAGCCTCCTTGAGTTAGGGTCTGTGAGAAAGGACAGATGGAGCCCTTGCCCTGCCCCACCCTCGCCTCCTGCCTCCTACCCAGCCTGCTCACACGCCAGCCCAGCTAAAGCCGGGGGATAGCAGGCACATGGCAGGCGGGGCCCTGAGTGCCAGGCTGGCAGACAGGGAGGGGCTCGTGCCCAGCACCTCTGCAGCCTCAAGGAACAGGCCCCTCTGGCCGGCAGAGCAGGCAGAGAGGCAGAGCCAGAGAGGCAGAGAGGCCAGAGAGGCACAGCCAGCCCCGACCCCGGGGTGGGGCGGGGGGAGGAACAAGCCCCTCCAGCCCCAGCCTGCAGAAACGGGGTCTGCACGTGAGCAGAGGGGATGAGCACCAGGCCTACCTTTGTCACAAGGCTGATCATCTGCGGTTTGCACAAAAGACAGATGGAGCAGCGTTAGTGGAGGGGAACCCGGAGGCGCTGAGGCTGAGGCGGCCGTGGCCTCGTGTGTGTGAGAAGCCCTCCATCTGCCCCCTCTCCCTTTCCTCCAACAAGCCCGTGATCTGAGCTCTGGTGCGTTAAACCCAGCCATGCTCTAATTAGCCTCCCCATGAATGTCTCATTGGCGGCCAAAGCAAACCGGCCGCTGCGGCATCAGAGCCTGCAGGCCGGCTTACTCAGCGCCCTTCCGAGCAAGGCTGGCAGGGTAACTGGCAGCGGCCCCCAAGCCCCGGGAGCTGCTTGCTCTGGGACGCCGGCAGGGACCAGGACCTGCTCTTTTTTGCTGGGGCTTGAGATCCACCAGGGTGGCCCAGAGGGCAGGCGAACGGTGCACCCGCTACTTGGTGTCCTTTGGGGGAGTTCGCTTGGTTCCAAGATCTGCGCCCCCCCCCCTTCGGCCAGACGGGCCACGGCAGGGGCAGCCTTCCCTCCATTCTGGACTCCAACCCAGGGGCTCTGCCCACAGGCCCTTGGAAAATCTGGCCCCAATTCATTCCCACAACCCCCACTGTCCATTTGGAAAGGAGGATGCCCCACCTCCACTTCACTGGGCTGCTTCCCGAAAGGTAAAGAGCACGCAGGCGGCTTCCAGATAAAGCCAGGATATTCCGCGAATAAGCGACCAACAACTCCTTAGTGTATCTCAAATACTGCACAAATATACTCCTAGTAAACTCCCATTTTCTTTAAAATGAAATTTCAATATAACCAGCACCCTTCATTTTTATTTGCCAAAGTTGGCTGCACAGAGGTGCAGGTTCACACACAACCATCTCCGTTCCATTTCCACTCCCTTCCAGCATCCGAGCTTCTTACATGATCAGGGTCAGAGAGGCCCTGGGAATCTAAGAAAAGCTGTGACCTTTCCCAGACAACACACACACACACACACACACAGGTTGGCATTTCGAGAAGTGTTAACTTGCCCCCCAGTGTCATCTGAGGGCCCCAAACATAGAAGTTTGGGGACTAAGTCTCCAGGGACCAAGCCCCCCAGACCCGCCCCATCGCCCCTCCTCAGGCCTCTCCACCCACCCCTCGTCCTCTAAAGCCCGTGAGCTCAGACAGGGCCCACGCTGCCCCCTCCAGCCAGCGCGTTTCTTCCCACCGAAGTCCCCACGTCCACGTCTCAGTCCCTCCCTGAGGCGCCAACCTCATCCTTCTACTCACAGGGGGGCTTCTTGAGGCTGGGGGGACTGGGCAGGGTGCCTGTGGCTCTCCGGTAGCTGAGTCGTCTGCAGAGACACAAGGGGGTGGGCAGGACTGTGAGTTGGGCCAGAGAACCATTGAGAGGGAAACTCCTGGAAACACAAGGAAACCCAGGCTGGCTCTCACAGGTGGGCACCGCCTGACACCCCGAGGGCCCCAAGGGCCTCACAGGCAGAGGCCACTTTCACAGGGGCTCAGTGGTTCACAAGGTGCAAGTGGGTCTCTTGCTCGGAAGAGGCTTGCCCAGGCCCAGCGGTCACTCACAGGATCCAGCCCGGTGCCCGAGGTCGCCTGGTGCTCATTTTCCTGTGACTGATTCTCAAGGAAGGGCCCTTCTCCACTCTCACCCGGCCTACCCAGCCCTGAGGAAGCTGGGAAACAGAAGAAGGACGTGCAAGAGAAGCCGAGGTGGGTGACCGCTTCACTCCCTTCTCCCGGCAACGAGCTCAGCCTGGCACATCATCTAATACGGTTTAGAGAGGCAGCTTCCGAGGCCTGCTCCGAGCTGAGAAAACACCCATGGGCCCCAGACATGTCTGTGTGCCTGAAACTCCGCTGTGAGGGCAGCAGCAGTTCTCAAACCGCAGCAGTTGAGGATCAGCTGGAGCATCTACTACAGGACAGATCTCAGAGCCGGCCCTGAGCCGACTCAGCAGGCCTGGGGCTTCTCGAACAAGTGCCCGGGGATGCCCACACACCTGCTTGGCCTGGCACAACCTCACAAGGGTCACTGAGACCCTGAGTTCCCGCAGGCCACACCCGGAAGATGTGATAAGGGCTGCAAGCCTCAGGGCAGGTGACGCAGTCCTAACTGCTATGCTATGTCACTTCTGGGAAACTACCCTAAGGCCACAGCCGGATAAGAGGAAGATCCACATGCAACGTGATCATCACAGCCGTGTGGCAGGGAGGCATTGGAGACGACTGAGGAGCAGGGCTCCCGAAGGGAGTGAGACTGCTCAGCTGAGAGGAAATGCCTCCTGCCCCTAAAGCCTGTCTCCTGGAAAACATTACACAGCCACAAAAGTCACATAGTAAAGAACCGGAAACAATGTGGGAAACACTAATGCTGAAAAGGTGAAGTTAGGAAAAAAGCCAGGCCTCACATTCACAGGAAGGGAAATGAACTGTGCTGTTCAGACGCTCGCGAGACTGGGTGCTTCCTCTGCCTCATCCTCTCTGTACTTTTCTACTTTCTTTCTCAGTGTTTTCTAGGCATGTATTTATTATACAGGACACGTTAATCTAAGGGCACCAATTTCCAGATATTTACTTAAGTCACAAACGGCCGTCACACAGTTACAGTCAACAAGAACTAACCTGCGGGCATTTGATGCTCCCTTCAGGGAGCGGACTCAGTGCGCAGAGCTTTGGCCACTTGTTGGCCTCTGACCACTCCAGGACCACCCGTCTGCCCACACACCTGGACCCACCTTTCCTGGAACTGCTTGGAGGGGATGAGGCCTGCTCGCAGGTTGGTGTCCCCCACTCGCTTGGCCTGCCACCACGTGGGGTCGTCCTGGCTCACCACCTCCAGCACCTGCCTGCGCTGGAAGGGCAGGCCGGCCTCCTGGCAGGGAATGGCCCGGTCCTCCTGAGGGCTGTAGTGGAACAGGGCCCGCATGAACACCTGCAGAGGGTAGGCACAGCTGTGTCCACACTGTGCCCGAGGCCATGGGTACAGTGACAACCACAGCAGGCTTGAGAACAGCAAGCTCACTGGAACACACACCGTTAGCATTCTTGCTGGTCTTCAGCCATCTGGGGCTGGTGGCCACCTTGCTGGTGGCACAGGGGTTAAAATCTCAGCATCATCAAGCTATGCAGCCCCTACAGCAAGAGTTCGATCCCCAGCCAGGGAGCTGACCCACATGGCGCAGCAGACCTCTCCTGTCTCCCCGCTGCTCCCCTCAGCAGTGCAGTACAGTATATCTGCCTGTTTGCTCCCTACTCTGTCTCTGGCAAGTCCTCTTACCCCACCACCCCTTGCACCTCTGGCCCGCACCCCAGTTCTCATATGCAAAAATAAATAAAAATAATTCTAAAAAAAAGAATCAGAATAGATGGGCCCATGCCTGAATCTGTCCTTCCCACTTAAACATTCCTTATTTACCTGATGTGTTGTGCTTCTAGCATAACAACCTAACATACCCCAGCGATGAGTCAGGTTACAGAAAGGGAAGGCAAGCAGAGATGGAACCCAAGTTAATTTTAATACACCTCCTAGCAAACCTGCAGTCATCAGTTAAATAAGCAATCTAGATGTTTCAGAAGAACACATTATCAACAGAACTACAATTACTGGTTCTTCCCCCTCTGTGGTGGGTGACACCCACACTTTCTAAGCTCAATGCCATCTTATCTGTCACATACTTGGCCAAACCCCAACTCTGTCCCCCAGGTCACCCCTTAAAGAAGACAGTGAGAAGACGCAGCGGTTTTCACATGGCCTCTTCTATAATTCAGTGGCATGAATTTATTTTATCTATTCTATTTCCAGACCACTGACTGGCAAGGTTCAATTACTTTAGCAGCAAACAGGAAAAAAGAATGGCAAAAGGTTTCCTAGACAGATCCAAATCAGATTAGATTGGGACCAGAAAAGATTCGGTTAGAGGGAAGTTAAGAACTTTCTAGTAATGGACTGTGAAGACAGGTGCCCTCACCCAGCCACAGGTATTACTGGGGTACCAGGCACTCACGGAAACTAGAATCTTAAGTGGCCAGCCCACCTCCACATGGCGCAAGGAGACATATTCAGGAAGCTGGGCTTAGAGGCAGGCAATCCTTCTGCCCTTCAGAAAAAGCAAGTTTGCCTTGCATCAAGGTAGAACCACAGAAGTGAAGAACCTTTTGACAGGCAGGAGTCCCCGCACCCTGAGGCTCAGTTGAAGGGCGCAAAGAAACAGCAAAGATTATTTCTTCATTTGCTCTGAAAGAACAACATCATACGACACTGTCTGTTGTTGCTCTCCATCACCAGACATTTACTGACATCCACTCAGTGCCAGGCTCCGCACGGCGCTTTCCTCACGCTCTGAGCGCCAGGAGGCCGGGGCCACCTTCTCGGGCATCCGCCATGTCTCTTCCCATCCCCTGATGCAAAGGGCCTAATTCATCACATTCCACTTTCTGCCCTGGCAGCCAGGGGTGCCGGTCCCAATCCTGATATCATAGTAGTGGCCTCTCCCACCCACTCTCTCAGCACCTCAGCTGGGTTTTTTAACCTCTCACCAGGCTCTTAGCAAGGCCTCCAACCAGGTGTCCTGCCTCCAGCCCCCCCAAGCCACTCCCCACCCTGTGGCGAACTTTGTAAAACAAATAGGACTGCCATCTTTCCTCTTAAAAGACAAAGCCCTCCCTGGTGGCGCAGCGGGTTAAAGCACAGCACTAAGAAGCTAACGCCACTGCAGCATGAGTTCGATCCCCGCCCCAGAGCTGACCCACATGGTGGGGCAGACCCCTCCTGACCCGCCCGCTGCTCCCCCTCAGCAGTGTGTTTCACTTGATCCACCTGTTCTGCTCCCCACTCTGTCTCTGGTGAATCCTCTCACCGCCCCTGCACCTCTGGCCTGTATCCCAGTTCTGTATGCATAAATAAATAAATCTTTTTAAAAAAAGAAGCCACCAAATGCCTTTAAGAGCTTCTCACCATCTATGGGGTGCCCCTTGGGAAGGGGGAGCCTCTCACACCCTCAGGGCCTTACCATTTCAGGGCTTCCAGCTGCCAGCACCTGCATCTGTTTGCCAAGCCGCGGGGGTTCTGCTCGCCCCAATGCAGCGGGTGGGCATGGATGCCCCAGTGGCAGCAGCTGGCGATATACCCCCAGGCTCGGGGTGGGATGACAGAACCCTGCCAACAGGGCCTTGTTCTCGGGCAGGATTAGGCTCTGGGGGCCACAGCACAGCGTGCCGACACGCCCCTGCTACACCGGTGGCCTTCCCTCCCCGCCGGGACCCTGCTATTTCCCAGAGTCACCTCCAAGTAAACCCTTTGCCCTCGAATCCTTGTCTCAGGGTTGGCTCCTGAGACCCCACACTAAGCAGATTACATGAAAACCCCTAGCAAGGCGCTGAGGCCCCTGAGAAGACAGCCCGGCCGCGCCTCCCAGTAGCACCCTACCCAGAGCCTCCATGCCGACCTGCCACCCGCCTCTTCTGCACCAGGGAAGTCCTCTTCCAGCGCCCTGTGTGACGCCTTCCAAGGTGCATTAACTCTGCACTGATCTTCCCAAAGCACTGAGCACGCAGCAAAGGACTTGCTCCCCGGCCTCCGCTCTGAACTAGGCATCCAAGAAGCTACGGATGGTCGCTACGGATGGTCTCTGTCTGTCTAGCATCTGGCGGGCGCCTGGCACAGAGGGGCCCGAGGAGGCAGGCTCACAAAGAATTCGACAAACGGCAGTCACTGAATTGGGCCCAAAGCAAGCACATTTGGTACCTCCTCCTCCTCTTCATGGCCCTGGTTTTTCTATTTTAATTAAAATAACCTCGTCTTTTATTAGTAAGTTACATCAAAGCCGGTGTAGAAAGAGACGGGGTACAAATAAGTGAGTCACCCGGTGACGGAATGAGGTTCTCCACTGAGCACGCAGGCCGAGGACCAGACTCCAGACCTCTTCCTGGGGGGGCCCCCTCCCCCACCTCAGGCTGTACCCCCACTCCCATACCTTACTCTCCTTTAAGCGGTCCTCCTCCTGGGTGGCTGGGATGATTTTCAGGGTGATGGACCCCTGGGACTGTGCCTGGAGAGAGAACACAGGTGGCGAGCATCGTCCAGATCACTCCGTGAGCTGGTCTCACTTCCCGTCTGCAAACTCACACCCAGGAGGCCACACAGACACGGCCTCCGCATGGCCCTCACTTCCTGGTGGCTCCTGGCTGGATCCACTACAGCAAAACTCAGAAACTAAGTATATGAACTTTAAGATTTTTTTTTATATACATACAAAAACTGGGGTGTAGGCCAGAGATGCGGGTTACGGGTGTGTGAGAGGATTCACCCGAGACAGAGTGGGGCGCAGAACAGGCAGATGGACTGAAATCCACTGCTGAGGGAGCAGCGGGGAGCCAGGAGAGGTCTGCTGTGCCCTGTGGGTCACTCCCTGGCCGGGGATCAGACTCAGGCTGCAGGGGCTGGCAGCAGCTTGATAGTGCCAAGACTTTAAAGCCTGCACCACCAGGAAGGCCCAAATATTTGAACTTTTACAAGGAAAAAGGACAAAAGATTTTAGATGGGAAGCCAATGAATTCCAACTGTCCATCCTCCTGCCCGCAAGAGCTGCCCTTCTTTCTTTTCTCAGGGGTCATTTAGAGTAATTCGGCTTCATTTTCGTCCTTCCTGCCTAAGTTGGGGCCGGTTCCCACTCAGTACTACCCTCTTCGCTTCCATCTTCCCCCAAGGGGTATTCCCATCTCAGGCCTTTCAGGGACTCCCCTTCTCTCTCTCTGAGAGAGACCCAACACCCCACAGGTGACCCACAGGAAGAAAGCTGGCAGCCCAGGACACGGCTCGCCAATGGACCCCAGAGCCCCTGCACACAGACGGCTGGGCAAGGACCAGGGAAAGGGCAGGCAGACTCGGGGGGGGGGGGGTTGGGGGAGGTCCTTAAAGAGCTGGCCTCCACTCTTCAGATCTCATCCTCTCCGCCCCCTCTGCCCCCCACACCATCAGAAGTTAGTGTCATGTCGGGAGAGGACGACTGAGGACGCCTGAGGACAGAGGACAAAAATGTGACTGGGGCTTTTCACAACCTCAGTTTGAATTCCAATTCCCGGAATAGACTCAGGAGGCAGCTTCTGTCCCAAGTTTAATTCCCCAGAATCTCCTTAGAGAGAGAAGTACTGGATCCTTCTCCAGATGTTTACATCCATGGTAACCACATATCAGATGAGGGGGAGGGACTTGCTGGGGTGCACAGCGAGAAAGCGCAGAGGCAGCTTCCAGTTCCATATTCCTCAGCCCTGTGGAAAGGGCTTTGGAAAAGGCCCCTCTGAGTCCTCAGGAAAGGGGGGGGGGGGTCCGGGGCAGCTGTGCTTAGTGAGGGTCCAGGTGGGCAGGAGGCCCGCCCTCCCCTGCCCCCCAGGTACACTCTAAGGCCGTGGTCTGCAGCCTCCTCATGAAGACAGGGAGACAAACCAGCATGTCCCCTGACTCCAGGGAGCACCCTGTTTTGACTCCAGAGCCCCAGCCCCGGGCAGCACGGACCAGAATCTGGCTGATCTCGTCGGGCCGCTTGTGCAGGACGGCGATGCCATTCACCTCACGGAGCTCGTCGCCCACGTGCACCAGGCCTAGGAGACAAGGGCGGCGGTCAGCACGGGCAGCAGCACTGGGCACCGCTGGGCCCGCTGAAGAGCCAGCCCAGGTGGACTCGAGGCCGAAGACCACGGCTGGGCCTGGCCCAACTGAGTCCCTGCAGGTGCCAGGCGCTCACAGGCACTCCGGGGGACCCCCACGTACCAACGGGCAGCTGGGAGTGAGAAGAATGATGCTGCTTGCCCAAGGCCACGCTGCTGAGAAGTCCAAGAGCCAGCACTGAAATGCGGCTACTTGGCCCTAGAAAGCCTGTTCTTCCTGCTCTAACCTCTGCTTCTTCAAAAACACCCTTAACGCTTTACCTTCCTGGGTTTACAGACACACTCTGAGAATGTCCTTCTCCAACCGTAACCAGGAAACTAAAGGCGCCAGGGAAGATGTCATCAGACTCACACCAGTCAGTCGGCCTCTGCCTTAGTGACAAGCGACGAGTGTCTGGCTGCTGGTGGCAGCAGCGAGACACCAGGAGCTGGCGAGGAGTACAGAACCCCCCCCAAGACCTCGGAGTCAGAATCTGCATTTGCAGAAGGTGCTGTGCACATTTCAGCTCTCTCACTGGGGTTTGAGGGTCCTGGTCCAGCCTTGCTCACGCGATGCCCCAACTGCCCGGGCGACGCCCTCCTACGCCAGGACGCCTAGCCTGCGTCCAATCGTTCTTGTCCTCCGGGATAAGAACACTCTGTTGCTAGCAGCGGGGTGTCTGGAAAGGCTGTGCCTGCACCTCAGTTAGGAGCCACCGGCACACGCAGGTGATCTGCTTTACCCCACCCCGAGACCACAGGCTAAGCCAGTGCACCAGCTCTTCTGACCACCCCCCAAAGTACCCTGTGGCTGGGATGTTTTCAAATGGTTACAATTTCTAACCAGCTTCGGAAAAGGGAGAGAATTCCAGGCCCCTTTCCCAGAATGCAAAGCACATGCCAAACAGGGGACCAGCCAGGAGGAGGAAGGTTCGGGGGGGGCAATGGCCAGCACCTTGGGGGACAATGGCCGGCGGGGCCGGCACTGATGGCACTCACCGCTCCGGTCTGCTGCACCCCCTCGCATGATCCGGGCCACCACAACGGCCCCCGAGTGCTCATCCCTCCGGATGGTGGCACCCTGCATGGGAGGACATCAGGCTCCTAGGAAGCAGCTCCGAGCCTCAGACCCTGCGCCCTCCCTCCCTCTCCCTGCCCAGAGGGCCCATCCGTGGGGACCTGCGCAACTAAGGGTGCAAAGACAGACATCTCACACCAGTGCCATGCAGCGCTTTACAGTTTGCAAAGCACAGTGCCACTGTGACCGCCTCAGGGTAGAGATGAGGGCTGGAACTCAGAGAAGGCAGCCTCCTCAAGGTCACCGGCTGGTGAGAAAAGCTTTTTGTGATGCCAGTGTTTTCTCCATCCTGTCACTGCCCCATCCTCTTGCAAGACAATTAATGAGGAGAGGACGTGTCTGCAAATTCTCCACCTGCCTTGCACCGGTCACGGGGTTACCAAGCCCACGAGGCCGTCTGCTGTTGCCGAGGGGAACCAATTATGGCCCAGTCGGAGCTTCAGGACTAGGACTCGGCCCTGCAGCACAGCAGAGATGATGTCTGGGATGAGAAAGGCACTAATGAGCCCACAGCTGGACTGTGTGGGTCAGGACAGCAGCGGGGAAGAGCCAAGCTCGGCAGCTGGGCAGCCCTGGGTTTGAATCCGCGCTGCCATTTACTAGCAGGACGCTCAGCAAGGAAGCCTCTTGTCTCTCCCACCCGGGCTCCTCTGGGGTGCGGGCTGCAAGGGTGATGGTGGGGAGTCCATCAGATGGTGCAGGCAGGGGGCAGCACACAGCAAGCGCCCCGTAAATGCTACCCATTCACACTGGCTGTGCCCAAGCACTGGCACACCTATCAGCCTCACCCCGGTCACCCACCTGAATGTAAGGTAACTAATGCGGGAAAGAGGAGCTAAGAGCCCCCGGCTTCCGCTGCCAGACCTTCGAACTTCCCCGCATCTCTGCCCAGCCCTTCCGCCTTTCTGCCAGCTCAGCAGAGGGTTTCCTGCTGGTCCCCAGACCCTCCCCTTTCCCTCTTCCATTCTCAATGTCACCTCTCTACTGGGTTCTTCTCCTAGTCCTAAAAATATGATCAAGTCTCTCCCAGCATTAAATGCCTGCACCCCCGTCAGGCAGCACCAGCTGGGCTTCTCTGGGGCAAGCAAGCATCTTAAAGATGCCGCGTGCATCTCTAAAAGGTACCCAGGTGGCTCCCTGGTGGCGCAGGGGGTTAAGTCCCAGATTCATAAAGCACAGACTGGCTTCCCACCCTCAACCTCAAAGGCACCAGGCGAAGCCCCAGCCACGAAGCCCCAGCCACCTGCCGGGTGCCAGTCCCCCGCCACCCCCGTCTTCTCTCCTCTGATCTCCTGTCTGACTCTGCTTACTCTCCCTCTGGAATTCTCTTAGTATGGGCCTGGAGACACCTGCCTTTCCCAGTTCTTCTTAATGACAATTCATCTTTGCTGACTTCCCCTCTGTGTAGCTTTTTATTTAAAAAAAAAAAATTATTTATTTGTACATATGGGGTATAGGCCAGAGGTTTGGGGAGGGGGTGAGAGGATCCACCAGAGACAGAGTGGGGAGCAGATCAGGCAGACTGACTGAAATACACTGCTGAGGGGAGCAGTGGGGAGACAGGAGATGTTTGTTGCGCCATGTGGGTCAGCTCCCTGGTTGGGGATCAAACTTGTGCTGCAGTGGCTGTGGACAGTCTTATAAAGCTGGAACTTAAGCCTCTGAGCCACCAGGGAGGCACCCGTGTCCCTTTTCAAAGATGATTAAAGGGCCAGGATTTCTGTCTCATTCTGAATACTCCTTACCCAGGAGGTCCCAAGCCTAGTTCTACCCAGCTGCTGGCAGCACCCAAGTCTGCATCTCTGGATACCTAACCTACCTCTTGCAAGCCTCTTGAATTCCATACGCCCTAAGCTCCTTCTAATCCCCGTGCTTGGTAATGGCCCCAGGGTGACACAGTTGTTGTAGCTGAATACCTGGTCACTATCCTGGGTGCCCCCCAGACACCCATCCAAAGCCAGACAGTCACACGGTGACATTAAATTTATTTCTGCGCCATCCTGAATTTTTCCATATTTCCACAGGCTAGGTCAGCCTCTGTTTTTGAAGCTCATCTATCTGATCCCACCCTCAAATCAGTCCTCTGCTTCTGACGTCAGCCTCCAAGCCACTTTCTGCTTGGCAGGCTAGGCACCCTCTCTAAGGCAGGCACCTAACCACCTTGTTTCTTATGCAAAACCTTACTACCCTCCGGGTCAAGCCATGCATGGACAATCAGGGTCTTTCCAAGGTCCCACTGTTCTGGCCTGGCCTCTGCAGCTCCTGCCACCCAACTGGACTGATGTCCACACCAGGCCGCTCGGTGTCCCTGCATACACTGTGCTGTTGACCTTGCCATGGCTTTGCTCCAGCAGTTCTGCTGCATAGAATGCTTCCCTCTCCTTCTGAAAACTCCTGCTCCTCTTTTAGGAATTCAACTTGGGATCACCCCTTCCAGGAAACCTCTGGTCACTGCCTCCTGTAAACCCAGAGGGTAAGGACTATGTTTTCATCATCTAAAGTGTCTGCACCCAACACTGGGCCTGGCACCCAGAAGGGCCCATAACACACTAGCCAAGTCCATGGCTGTCTGCCTTTCTGAACACGAGGAAACAGAGGCAGGGGCGAGATCCCTATCTGTGAGCAGAGCAGTTCATGCGAGGTCATTCGGTGAAAGTTGAGAAGAATGGCAGTGGAGTGTTCTCTGCCGCAAGCGCTCAGCTCCGCACTTCCACCGTTTCCCTCCAACTAATAAACAGCCCCGCAATTCTGCCTGCTAAGTCAATGCTGAACCAGGACACAGCCGATAACCATCTGTCAGGGAGGGAGGTGGATGCCCCGTGCTTCCTCAGTGTTGAGAGCAGGAATTGGCAAACTGTTTCCGTAAAGGGCCAAATGCAAACATCTTAGGCCTTGTGGGCGACAGGGTCTTCACTGCAGCTACTCAGCTCTGCCACCCCATGTAGAGGCAGCCACGAGAGATGTGTAAAGCAAGGCCTGGCTGTGCGCCAACAAGCCTTTACTCACTCAAACTGCCAGGAGACTAGGTTTGGTTGGAGACCATGGTTTTTGCCAACTTCTGGCTCGGAGCACAATGACTAGGATGGCCCCAGACAGGTGCGCGGGTCACTAACTGCTCAAAGGAGCTGGGCTCCGTGGGAGGCTGTGCCCAGCCAGAGAGAGGGGTACCCTGTACCCGGCCTGACAAAGGGATACCCTGCACAGAAAGTGTTGCAGGGATTAGAGGCCACCCTGACAAAGCTGCCCTCACTCACGCTGAACATTGCAGGAAGGCTCCTGCCTGGCTTTCTGGGTGCAAGTGGGATTCAGTGAGAGGATGGGGGAAGAAAAGTGGGTACCACATACCAGGGGTTCCTTGTTCTTCACCAAACGGACAATCTTTACTGATTCTTCATCAAAATCCTCATCAATGTTATCGGGCAGAGGGGGGAGGACAGGGTCGAAATTCTTCTGGGCAACCGTGTCATGCACCATGAGCATGGCCTGCGGGAAATTGAGAGAAGAGGGGCTGGCACGCTCCCAGGGTCAGGGCCACTTTGGGGTCTTGGTCGGGTCAGAGAAAGCCACCCCACACACAGGCGCTAGGAGCCTTGGCCAGCAGTCTCCTCTCCTCGGTCTCACCGCAAGAGCTGCCTCCTGCCCCCACCCCAGGAGACACAAGACGCGTGGGTGGGCAGGGACTGCAGCAGACTACCCTGAGGTGGGGGGTGGACAGCAGCTGGAGCAGTTCCCTCTCGTCGCTGCGCACGGAGGTGGCCTGCAGCTCCTCCATCACCTGCAGGGGGTGAGACAGAACAGCTGCGGGTGCGTCCAGGGCGCTCCCTAAGCCTCAGGCCCTAGAGCCCTCCTGCAACTGTGACAACACCCAGGGGTGCTCTGGGTCCGGGCACTCGGCACTACACTATTTTACTGACAAGGAAACTGGGGCTCAGAGCGGTGGCGTGATTTGTTTAAGGTCACAGAGCTAGCAGCCGAGGCAGTCTGGGCCTGGGAGCCTGGCAAGCTAACACGACCCTGACGCACCCCACAGTGGCGAAGGCACGGGGTGCACCCAGGGCTGCCAGCCCTTTTCCTGGGACTAGGTGAATCAGTTAAAGAGCTGGCCTCAGCAATCAACCCGACATTGCAATGCAGAAGACAGGTCCACAAGTAGTGAGAAATCTGTGTACTTTTCAAAAATGAGCATCAGGAGCCAGTCAGCAGGCCTGACCTTGACCTCAGATCCACTGTGCTTGTCTGAGCTGCTCATACTGCCAGTCCTCAGCAGGCTGGCAACTGCTGGTCTCATCCCAGCACTCTCATTTCACAGCCGGGGAAACAGACTTTCTCAAGAACACACAGTTAGTGGGTGTCACCATGTTGCCATGTCCCCAGCCCAGTCCAAGGCTCGTGCATCCCTCCCTGCCAACTAAGACACCCAGGGAGAAGGAGGGAAAGACAAAGGGACACCTCTTCACCGCTGGCTGCTGGTCTCCAGAGTCCCCTGGCTAAGCAAAGGTGACAAAGCAAGACTGGGTGGGGGATGAGGCCGACGGGGCAAAGGAAAACCTGGGCTTACGTCCTCGGCGAGGGCCACCGCGCTGTGCAGCACCGGGGTGGGGCTCTGCGTCTCGTAGTAGCGAAGCTTCTCATGAATCTGCAAAGACAAGCTGGTCTCAGGCTGGACCTCCCCCGCCAGCTGCCCGGGTGTGCCCTGGGGACCACACGGCCCCTCATAACCACGGGGCACCAACGGCTACAGATTGCCCACCGGTGGGCAGCATGCAAGAGAGCCCTGCACAGTGGACTCTGAAGACCTTCGTGGGGCAGGGACTGGCTAGGCGGACCCCACGGGCCGTCGGTTACCAGGAAACACCTCTCCAGCTGGCAGGAAACGGGGCTTACCTTCATCAAGTAGCTGAGGCTTTTTTCACTGAAAACATCCCTCAGGAAACCCAACTCTTCCCTGTGGTTGCAGTCAGGTCTGAGCCGAGAGGTGAGCAGTGCCAGGGTCTCGTGCAAGCCTGCGGACAGAGTCGGAGAAACAGCAGAGCAGACGCATCATCACACACTTCCGGCCTCAGACATCACTTCGGCCCGCTGCCTGGACATTCTCGTGGGCTTGGAGGCGGGGCTGCTCTTTCCGCCCGGGGCTGCCCACAGACTCTTATCTCCAGGGGTGCTGGGGAGAAGGGACGCGCACCTGAGTCCTCGGACAGCACCGGCATGTCTCCTGGTCAGGTCCCCAGCTCTGCCTGTGGGTTCTGGGAGAAAGGGTGGGATGAGGAGAATGAAGTTCCACCAAGCATGTCCACTCAACTGCGATTACAGTGTCTGGGACTAGTTTGGGGACGGAGGAGAGGGAACAAATAATACTTTGCTCATTTTTTTTCCCCAGAGAAAGTAAAGAAAACTAAGATTTGCTGCATGGCTCCGACGTGCTAAGAACAGACACTAACATTCCCGCCTTACTGGAGAACAAGAGAGACCTGACGGATTACAGTAACCTGCAGGGCAGAACCAGCCTACCCTTGCAGGCTGGTCTCTGAAACCGGGTGGCCCCCGCCTGACACTTCTCCCCGCAGAGGCCTGGCTCTAATCCCTTGCCTGGCACACCCTCAACAAGTATCTGGCGGGCCTGAAGCGCCCTCCTTCCACCATCGCCAATCCCCAACCTGAAGGCGACCCCCCAGAAGAGGAGACGGAGCAGTAAGCAGCAGGCTTCTGCTATGCAAGAGTGGGAACCTCATCTCTCCGGGCAAATCCCCCCCGCAATGTGCTCAGTAGCACGTGCACCTCAGAAAGTCCTCCTTGAGGGACAAGGAGAGTCATGATTCATTCATTCTGCAAACATGGAGCCGGGCCCCACTGCGCCCGAGCACCGTGACACCAAGACGCCTACGAAAGGTACCGGCCCACCAGCCGCCGCCCGCCCCTCTGCGCCGGACTCACCGCCTGGCTCCTACTTGTGCCCCCCACTCTCCCCGGCGGCCGAGCGCAGACTCCAACTCGCTCTGGGAAGGCACCTGTGGGACGAACGGGGCGCGCGGCTGGGAAGGGGCGAGCCAGGGGAACGCAGGGCACCGTCTCGCCGGGGGCCGAGCGGCCGGAAAAGAGCCGGGCGCATGCGGGGGTGGG